CTGGTGGCCACGGGAGGTAATGACAGGGGAGTCAGTTGTGAGTGTGAAGGGACTGGTGGCCACAGGAGGTAATGACAGGGGAGTCAGTCGTGAGTGTGAAAGGACTGGTGGCCACGGGAGGTAATGACAGGGGAGTCAGTTGTGAGTGTGAAAGGACTGGTGGCCACGGGAGGTAATGACAGGGGAGTCAGTTGTGAGTGTGAAAGGACTGGTGGCCACAGGAGGTAATGACAGGGGAGTCAGTTGTGAGTGTAAAATGACTGGTGGCTATGGGAGGTAATGACAGGGGAGTCAGTTGTGAGTGCGAAGGGACTAGTGGCCACGGGAGGTAATGACAGGGGTATCAGTTGTGAGTGCGAAAGGACTGGTGGCTATGGGAGGTAATGACAGGGGAGTCAGTTGTGAGTGTGAAGGGACTGGTGGCTATGGGAGGTAATGACAGGGGAGTCAGTCGTGAGTGTGAAAGGACTGGTGGCTGCGGGAGGTAATGACAGGGGTATCAGTTGTGAGTGCGAAAGGACTGGTGGCTATGGGAGGTAATGACAGGGGAGTCAGTTGTGAGTGCGAAGGGACTGGTGGCTACGGGAGGTAATGACAGGGGTATCAGTTGTGAGTGCGAAAGGACTGGTGGCTACGGGAGGTAATGACAGGGAAGTCAGTCGTGAGTGTGAAAGGACTGGTGGCCACGGGAGGTAATGACAGGGGAGTCAGTTGTGAGTGTGAAGGGACTGGTGGCCACAGGAGGTAATGACAGGGGAGTCAGTCGTGAGTGTGAAAGGACTGGTGGCCACGGGAGGTAATGACAGGGGAGTCAGTTGTGAGTGTGAAAGGACTGGTGGCCACGGGAGGTAATGACAGGGGAGTCAGTTGTGAGTGTGAAAGGACTGGTGGCCACAGGAGGTAATGACAGGGGAGTCAGTTGTGAGTGTAAAAGGACTGGTGGCTATGGGAGGTAATGACAGGGGAGTCAGTTGTGAGTGCGAAGGGACTAGTGGCCACGGGAGGTAATGACAGGGGTATCAGTTGTGAGTGCGAAAGGACTGGTGGCTATGGGAGGTAATGACAGGGGAGTCAGTTGTGAGTGTGAAGGGACTGGTGGCTATGGGAGGTAATGACAGGGGAGTCAGTTGTGAGTGTGAAAGGACTGGTGGCTGCGGGAGGTAATGACAGGGGTATCAGTTGTGAGTGCGAAAGGACTGGTGGCTATGGGAGGTAATGACAGAGGAGTCAGTTGTGAGTGCGAAGGGACTGGTGGCTACGGGAGGTAATGACAGGGGAGTCAGTTGTGAGTGTGAAAGGACTGGTGGCCACAGGAGGTAATGACAGGGGTATCAGTTGTGAGTGCGAAGGTACTGGTGGCTACGGGCGGTAATGACAGGGGAGTCAGTTGTGAGTGCGAAGGGACTGGTGGCTATGGGAGGTAATGACAGGGGAGTCAGTTGTGAGTGTGAAGGGACTGGTGGCTATGGGAGGTAATGACAGGAGAGTCAGTTGTGAGTGCGAAGGGACTGGTGGCTACGGGAGGTAATGACAGGGGAGTCAGTTGTGAGTGCGAAGGGACTGGTGGCTACGGGAGGTAATGACAGGGGAGTCAGTTGTGAGTGTGAAGGGACTGGTGGCCACGGGAGGTAATGACAGGGGAGTCAGTTGTGAGTGTGAAGGGACTGGTGGCTTTGGGAGGTAATGACAGGGGAGTCAGTTGTGAGTGCGAAGGGACTGGTGGCTATGGGAGTTAATAACAGGGGAGTCAGTTGTGAGTGTGAAGGAACTGGTGGCTACGGGAGGTAATGACAGGGGAGTCAGTTGTGAGTGTAAAGGGACTGGTGGCTACGGGAGGTAATGACAAGGGAGACAGTTGTGAGAGCGAAGGGACTAGTGGCCAAGGGAGGTAATGACAGGGGTATCAGTTGTGAGTGTGAAGGGACTGGTGGCCACGGGAGGTAATGACAGGGGAGTCAGTTGTGAGTGTGAAGGGACTGGTGGCCACGGGAGGTAATGACAGGGGAGTCAGTTGTGAGTGTGAAGGGGCCTGGTGGCTATGGGAGGTAATGACAGGGGAGTCAGTTGTGAGTGTGAAGGGACTGGTGGCTACGGGAAGTAATGACAGGGTAGTCAGTTGTGAGTGCGAAGGGACTGGTGGCTTCGGGAGGTAATGACAGGGGAGTCAGTTGTGAGTGTGAAGGGACTGGTGGCTATGGGAGGTAAGGACAGGGGAGTCAGTTGTGAGTGTGAAGGGACTGGTGGCTACGGGAAGTAATGACAGGGGAGTCAGTTGTGAGTGTGAAGGGACTGGTGGCTACGGGAAGTAATGACAGGGGAGTCAGTTGTGAGTGTGAAGGGACTGGTGGCTATGGGAGGTAATAACAGGTGACAGGGGAGTCAGTTGTGAGTGCGAAAGGACTGGTGGCTACGGGAGGTAATGACAGGGGAGTCAGTTGTGAGTGCGAAGGGACTGGTGGCTACGGGAAGTAATGACAGGGGAGTCAGTTGTGAGTGCGAAGGGACTGGTGGCTTCGGGAATGTTCGAGAAGGGAGCGTGGTCAGGCGACGGAAGATGACGGCAGAGTCTGCCGGTGGAGCGAGCGTCCACTTGGCGAGAAGGTTCAGGAAGGGGGGCGTGGCCTCGGTTGGTATATAAGGAAGATGCGTGGGAGACTAGGGGCTTTTGCAGTGGGGTTCTCCGTCTGATGTCAAGTGAACGTGTCTTCAATGAAGTGCCATCTCAAGAGAAGTGTGTCGTCATTACAATACTACACTACACTACAATAAACTATGCCATACACTATACACAACACTACTATACACTATACTACACTGAAAACGCGTTACTTTTGAGCTGCATTTGTGCTTAGTTTATTGTCCCTCCCCCGCACCTCCGATGAGCAGTTGGCTCGGTACGGTGCCAAAGAAGTTAAACGTAAACAACACCCGCCATTCGCTACTAAGTGGCGGTGACGTCACCACGACGCTTGTGCCAGGCCATGTGCACTTTGAGGCCACGTGAAATGTCGAACGCCCGCTGGCAGGAGGTCACGTGGCAGACCCAGATGGCACAGGTCGACTGAAACTGGCTGATGCACCACCTGTGCCCCCTACTGTACCAACTTGCTGTGCTTTAGCCACCCGGCGCTCCGCTCGTTGTTGTGAGCGTCGCTCCTCCGCCCTCTGTTGTTGTTGGAGGGCGACTGCCTCCAACTGCCCAGTAGCAGCGTCCTTCACGAGCCTCCTCCACAGAGGCCGATCTTGACACCGCTGGTACCAGTCATCGGCAAGTCCACTCAGCTCCATGTCCTCCTGTACCACATCACTCCATCTCTTCTCTAGCCCGTGCCGCGCCCCGTTTAGCCCCCTCGATCCGGTCGAACAAAAGCTGTTTAGGCATACGGTGGCTGGGCATGCGGGCTACATGACCCAGCCAACGCAGCCTTGCCTGCCGGAGGAGCTCACCGATGGGACTTTGTCCAGATCTTTCAAGGATTTGTGAGCTCACACAATCCAGCCTGGTTAAACCCAGGATGGATCGTAGGCAGGCCAGCCTATATGTTTATAACCGGTGAAGATGCTCTATTCGCGGGGTACACGTTTCGCAAGCATAAAGGGAGGGAATGACTGTGGCTGAGAAGACTTGAAGCTTCGTGCGGAGCGACAGACCAGGTAGTTTCCACACAGCGTTATGCAACCGATGAAAAGATAATGCCGAGTGAGATGCCCCTGTCGTTGTTACAGTCTGTGCGGTCCCCTTTCTTAAAGAGGGGGACCACCAGGGCATCCTTCCAATCTTCCAGAACCCGTCCAGTGGTCCAGACTGTTGTTTTGATGTCATATAGGGCAGCCTGTGCACAAACGCCACCCTCCCTCAGAATTTCGCTTGGGAGATCATCTCTGCCCAGTGCTTTTCCTGGTCCCAGACTCTGGATCACCTTCAGTACTTCAACAGATGGCACCTCGACCAGCCACTCACAGGGGGTGACTTCCTCCTCCAATATTTTGTGCTTAGTTTATTATCCCCACCCCCACACCTCCGATGAGCACAGTTGGCTAGGTACGGTGCCAAAGAAGTTCAACATACACACACGTAGACACACACACGTAGACACACACACACATAGACACACACACGTAGACACACACACACGTAGACACATACACACAGACACACGTAAACACACACATAGACACACACACACATAGACACACACACGTACACACACACGTACACATAGACAAAGATCCCCCGTATAGCCTTAACAGACTGTAGGGGCAAGTGCTGTTAGCGAGCACCTATGAAGGCCGGCACGGCACACGAGGGGGTGGGTGGCCAACACCGCGCCCGGCCGCCTTTGTCTCCCTAGTAGCGATGTTTACACACCGCACCAGGTACTCATTTAAGGCTGAGTCGACCTAGGGGAGGCCCAGGACCGGTTCAGATAATCGTCACTGGTGTTAGCCTTGAAGTTGATTGTTGGTTGATTGAGACTAGGCTCTAAGGAAAGCTGTCTCGGGTGTGGACCAAAACTTCAAGGAGAATGCATACATTTGTAATGCGAGCAAGGATTGAGGGGGGGCGGAGTCTGGGTCACGTGGGGAGAGGGCGGAGTTAGGGTCACGTGGGAGAGAGGATTTAGGGGGAGAACCGGAAGGGGAAGGGGGAGTTGAGACGGAGTGAAACAGGAGGAGGCCACGCTGGGCAGGACGGGGAGAGTGGCGCGGTCGCCACGCGGTGGGAGACGTCGACACCGTCAGCCATCGGGGTCAGACGCAGAGAGCTAGCGGGCTGTGGGAGGCTAGCTGTATACGGGGCAGCAGTGAAGCTGGAAGCGGAGCAGCGGTGTGGCTGCAAGGCGAAGCAAGAGTGAGGCTGCCTAACGGAGCAGCAGGGAGACTGCATATCGGAGCAGCCGAGTGGCTGTGGAGAGATCGTCGGGAGAGACGCGGGCCTGAGCGAGGACGCCGTGGTAACGAGATTCTACGAACCCAATAAAGGACAACGGAGATCGACATATGAGAAAGAGTCCTTTATTACACATTATCAGAGTTGTGTTTTTGTTTGCATTATGACTGCAGGTATTGTGGTCTATGCAAACATGACTCCTCGTAAAAAAAAGGTGTCAGTTTTGTTGCCAGATAAAAGGGTAAAAAACCAATTATCATATTTTTTACTGGCAAATGAAATACCAATGGAATAAGTCACCACCTCCAGTGGGCTCCCCCTGGTAGGATGGCGATGGTTGTTTGTGTTTATTTCTCCTGCGTCAACAGTTCTTCTGCTGTGTGTCTCACCCGATGACGATTGCTTGAGTTGCGATCGAAACATCGTCATCTATTAACTTCCTCTCTACGTGACTTTACCGAAAGAACCAAAGACTATTTGTGTGTCGTGTGAGGAATTTAGCATATTTATGGAAAATTCAGATATTTGATTAGTCACTACTTCTGGAATGCGTAGGAGGTGGGGGGGTCTCAAAGTCATATTATGCCCGTGCATTATGTAGGATTAGCAGCATTTTCCATAAATATATTAAATTGCTCTGCTGATATGCAAATTCCTTTGTCAAGGCGCCCTTCCTCCTCTAACACAGCTTAAATATACGCTGCCAAGCCTGGTGGTGCTCATTCAGACGCCGTCTTTCCGACAGACTTGTTCTCCACCTGAGGACGGCTGCTTGCGTTGTGGCCGAAACGTCGTGAGAATTGTATTTTATTATGTTTTATTTTTATTATTTTATTATTTGCCTTCTACGAGACTTTACCGAAAGAACCAAGAAGATGAATCCCTGCAGTCACGAAAGCTTTAAATCGAAATTTATTCGTGTGTTGTGTGATTTGTTTACCTTTACGGTACTCTGCACTACTATCGTGTTTGTGTTACGTTTGTTGTTGTAACGTTCTTACCCCGTGCCCCGACTGGATATTTGCGAAAAAGAGCTTCATAGCTCATCGGATTCCGATGGGGGGGAAGGGGGTCAACGTTGACGTAAGGCATCGGACGCAACGTAGCAGCAGCATGAGCAACGCGGAAAGATTTAAACGCACAACCGTGAAATTAAATAACAACGCCACACAAAGCCACAGAGTCCAGGAGCCTCCACACATCATCACAGTCAGCGGGCGAGTGTTTTTGATTGCTTGCTTGGTCCGTCAGCCTTGCTTGTGCACATTTGTTGGTGGGTGGGACGCGTGGGCGGGTAGCTGACGGCGCTCACAGGCAGGTAATGGCACGAGCGAACCAGTGGGCAAGCGGGTGATGGTCTTAGCGGGTGAGGGCGCTTGCGGGCGAGCGTGTGATGGCGCAAGCGAACGAGCGAGCCAACGGGCGACGGCGCTGGTGAGCGGGCGGGCGGGCGAGTGGCAGAACTAGCAAAGGGGCGAGCGAGCAAGTAATGGTGCAAGCGAGCGGGCAGGCGAGCGAGTGGTAGCGCTCACAAACAGGCGAGCAAACAGGCGAGCGAGCGGGCGGCGGCGCTAGCGACTGGGCAGGCGGGCGAGCGGCGGCGTTAGAGAAGGGGCGAGCGAGCGGGTGGGCGAGCGAGCGGGTGGGCGAGCGAGCGGGTGGGCGATCGAGCGGGTGGGCGAGCGAGCGGACGGGTGAGCGAGCGAGCGGGCGAGCGAGTGGTAGCGCTAGCAAATAGGCGAGCAAACAGGTGAGCGAGCGGGCGGCGGCGCTAGCGACTCGGCAGGCGGGCGAGCGGCAGCGTTAGCGACGGGGCGAGCGAGCGGGCGATGACGCAAGCGAGCGGGCAGGCGAGCAGCAGCGCGGGCGTGTCGACGGCACTAGTGGGCGGGCAGATTGCGCCGGCGATTGGCGAGACGGTGCCGGCGAGCGGGCAGACGGTGCCGGCGGGCGGGCAGGTTGCGCTGGCAGTCGCTGCGCTTGATGGCCACGTTCGGGTAGCGTGCGCGGAGCTCCCCGACGAGGCGAGCGTCGACGCGCGAGCAGAACGACACGTCCAGCAGGCGCAAGTCGCGGCAGCTCCACAGCAGCTCCCAGAGCGCGCTGGCGCTCACCATGCGCGTGCCTGCACACGCACGCGCCGCCGCCACACGCACCACCCCCCGCGTAGCCTCAGCAGGGCGTCATGGGGGCGAGCGCAGGGCGCTAACCGCTGCCCCGCCACTCACTAACACCGTCACCCACGTGTGTGTACGTGTGTGTACGTGTGTGTATGTGTGTATGTGTGCACGGCACACGAGGGGGTGGGTGGCCAACACCACGCCCGGCCGCCTTTGTCTCCCTAGTGGCGATGTTTACACACCCCACCAGGTACTCATTTGAGGCCGAGTCAACCTAGGGGAGGCCCAGGGCCGGTTCAGATAATCGTCACTGATGTTGGCCGTGAGCGGGAATCGAACCCGTGTCGCCGGGTTTGTAGCGCAGCGCGCTAACCGCTACACTACCGCTCCCCACACACACACAGCCACGCACGCACACACGCACGCACACACGCACACACACACCTACACACACAAACACCTACACACACAGACACACACACACCGACACACACACACACAGCCACGCATGCACACACACACACCTACACACACAAACACCTACACACACAGACACACACACACCTACACACACACACAGCCACGCACGCACACACACACACACCTACACGCACACACACCCGCACCCCCGTGTAGCCTTCTAACAGACGCCCCCCCCCGGCCCGAGCGCCGTCCGCGAGCAGCGGCGCCGCCTCGCCCAGCCCTCCCAGCCCGCCCAGCCCGCCCAGCTCGCCCAGCTCACCCAGGATGTCGAGCTGCTGGAGGCGAGGGCAGTGCCGCGCCAGCGCCGCCAGGTCGTGGTCGCCCACCGTGCGGTTGGCGGTGAGGTAGAGGCGGCGCAGCGCCGGCAGGCTGCGCGCCAGCAGCTGGAACACGCCGGTGCCGCTCTGCAGGCCCGAGCACCAGCCCAGGTCGAGCTCCTGCAAGGCAGGCGCCAGCGCCGGTCATCCTCGTAGCAGCGGCGGCTTTTTGGCCGACCGTCGGACGAAGGCGGTGGTCACCGCGCTCCTGCGGCCGTCTGGAACGCTCTGTCGTCACTCGGAGCTAAGCCACTTTTAAATCATCTAGATTGGCGAACTAATTTCTTTCGAAATGCTTGTTGTGTTTTAGTGGTTGGCTACGTACGGTACAAAACAAGTCACGTCGGTAAAAAATTTAAATTAATAAAAGTAAAATAAAAAATAAAATTAAAATCACGACGTTTCGGAGGCAACACAAGCTTCCGTCTTCAGGTGGAACCGTCACAGCATGACTGCTGTATCAAGTGAGAGAAATTCCAAGAAAACAGTCCTTGTATATATACTGGTTGAGGGTGGGAGGAGCCAAGGTAGGCCCTGGATATTATTTTTGTGAGGTTCGGTGCGGCTGAAGCACGCTGTTAGCAATGAGCCTTTGTTGTGTAAACTAGGTGCGGATGATGTAAAGGTGCGTGTAAATGGGACTGAGCCTTTTGTTATGTAGAGGTGATGTGGCTGAAATCGCTGCCAGGAAATGAGTCATTGTTGTGTAGAATGGTTGACTGAGCCTATTGTTATGTAGATGTGGTGCGGCTGAAATCGCTGCCAGGAAATGAGTCTTTGTTGTGTAGAATGGTTGACTGAGCCTATTGTTATTTAGAGGTGGTGCGGCTGAAATTGCTGCCAGGAATGCTCCAAATATGTGTAGTTAAATCTTTTTTGCATGATTACTAAGTTTGTACCCATCATCACAATTGAAATTATGTCTGTGTTTGTATATTTGGATGGCCTCGTGTACAAACCTTTGATGGTAGCCAGGAGGCTTGCAAAGCACCTTAGTCTCGGAAAAGACAATTTCATGGGAACCCACACACAGCGTTGTAGCAATGATCGGCAACGGCGGAAGAATCAGTTTTGCCGTGCTTCAGATCTGACTTGTGCTCGCGGACACGATCAGAGATATGACGTTTCGTTTCTCCAATGTAGCAATCACCACAACTGCAACTCAGTTTGTAGACTCCAGGGTATTGTAAGTCAGGAATGACATCTTTCACAGATGGAATTAGATCACGGATTTTATGTACTGTACTGAATCGGACTTGAATCTTATGTTTGTTTAGAATTTTGGAGATCGTTTTGGTCACGCCTGCTATGTATGGCAACGTGGTAGTTTTGATCGGAGTTTCAAGTGGCTGTTTCTGTATGGTGGGAGAAACAGCTTGGCGGATGGTGCGGTCAGAGTATCCGTTCATCCTGAGGGCCCGATGTACATGTCTTAATTCACTGGCCAGGTGGTGTTGGTCAGAAATGCCATGGGCTCTGTGGTATAGCGTTTTGATGAGAGAATTCTTTTGAGATGGGTAGTGGTGGGAATCAGGTTTCAAGTAGGAATCTGTGTGGGTGGCTTTCCTGTAGACAGAATGTCCCAAGGATCCGTCAGGTCTCCTCTCAAACAGAATATCTAAGAATGGTAGTTTACCATCTTTCTCCACTTCCATGGTGAATCTGATGGATGGGTGTCTGGAATTGATGTGGTCCAGGAAATGGTTCAATGCTGGGAGGCCATGTGGCCAAATGACGAAAGTGTCATCCACATACCTCTTCCACAGGGAAGGACGCAGGGTGGATGTCTGGATGGCGTCTGATTCAAACTTTTCCATGAACAGTTGGCTATCACTGGTGACAAGGGGGAGCCCATAGGGGTACCCTCATTCTGTTTGTAGAAGGTGCCATTCCAGGTAAAATAAGTGTTGTGAGGCAATGCCTAACCAGCGCAGGTACATCCGAATTCAATCCATGTTGGACCAAGTCCTCAATTATTGTCAGGGTGTCAGGTACTGGGACTTTGGTAAACAGAGATACTACATCAAAACTGACGAGGATATCATCAGGAGATAGTACCATGTCCTTAACCATAGAGACTAATTGGGTTGAGTTGAGTACTGCCGAAGAGGTCTTGCCTGTGAAGGGAAGCAGAGTATCTGATAGAAACCAGGCCAGTTTGTAGGTAGGAGAGTTGATCGTCGACACGATGGGTCGTAGCGGGGTGCCTTCTTTATGGATCTTGGGAAGACCACAGAGTCGGGGAGGTCTTGCCGCCGATGGTTTTAGAGAGGGACGTTTGGTTGGTTCGATTAGGGAAGTCGAACTCGTGATGATTTTGTTAGTTTTTGTCGTTAGGCTGTTAGTAGGATCGTTTTTAAGGACCTACTTAATGATGGGAGTTACGCCATTGGAGCCGTGCCATTTTGGATATTTATAACATCATTCGCTGGCCATACAAAATTATCAACTTCAAAATTAGCCTGTTATATTTGGTCAAACATTTAATTAACTCACCCCTAATGCGATGGCTGACACTGCTTCTCTTTGGCGAGGCGTGTGATGTTAGCCGTTATTGTTGATGTTGCTGCTACTCGCAACTGCTTTTCCAGGTTTGCTCCGAGATTTATTGAATTTCGAGTCACGCCTGCGGTTGCCTTGGCAGGGCCACACCAAATGATTTTGCGGGGCCTCGTACGGCCCGCGGGCCGGACGTTCCCCGCCCCTGATCGAGACTGACAAACTCGTTTTATTTAGAGCTGCTGGTTGTTGTGTTTCGTTTGTTGTTTCTTCCCGAGCACCTCCGATTAGCGCGCTGAGTACGTACAGTGCCAGTGAGTGCGGTGGCTGTAGGTGTGGTACCTGTAGGTGAGTGCGGGACCTGTAGGTGAGTGTGGTACCTGTAGGTGAGTGAGTGCAGGACCTGTAGGTGAGTGCGGTACCTGTAGGTGAGTGCGGGACCTGTAGGTGAGTGAGTGTGGTACCTGTAGGTGAGTGAGTGCGGGACCTGTAGGTGAGTGCGGTACCTGTAGGTGAGTGAGTGCGGGACCTGTAGGTGAGTGCGGTACCTGTAGGTGAGTGCGGGACCTGTAGGTGAGTGAGTGTGGTACCTGTAGGTGAGTGCGGTACCTGTAGGTGAGTGTGGTACCTGTAGGTGAGTGAGTGCGGGACCTGTAGGTGAGTGCGGTACCTGTAGGTGAGTGCGGGACCTGTAGGTGAGTGAGTGTGGTACCTGTAGGTGAGTGCGGTACCTGTAGGTGAGTGTGATACCTGTAGGTGAGTGCGGTACCTGTAGGTGAGTGTGGTACCTGTAGGTGAGTGAGTGTGGTACCTGTAGGTGAGTGAGTGCGGGACCTGTAGGTGAGTGCGGTACCTGTAGGTGAGTGAGTGCGGGACCTGTAGGTGAGTGCGGTACCTGTAGGTGAGTGCGGGACCTGTAGGTGAGTGTGGTACCTGTAGGTGAGTGAGTGCAGGACCTGTAGGTGAGTGCGGTACCTGTAGGTGAGTGCGGGACCTGTAGGTGAGTGAGTGTGGTACCTGTAGGTGAGTGAGTGCGGGACCTGTAGGTGAGTGCGGTACCTGTAGGTGAGTGAGTGCGGGACCTGTAGGTGAGTGCGGTACCTGTAGGTGAGTGCGGGACCTGTAGGTGAGTGAGTGTGGTACCTGTAGGTGAGTGCGGTACCTGTAGGTGAGTGTGGTACCTGTAGGTGAGTGCGGTACCTGTAGGTGAGTGTGGTACCTGTAGGTGAGTGAGTGTGGTACCTGTAGGTGAGTGAGTGCGGGACCTGTAGGTGAGTGCGGGACCTGTAGGTGAGTGAGTGTGGTACCTGTAGGTGAGTGCGGTACCTGTGAGTGTGGTACCTGTAGGTGAGTGCGGTACCTGTAGGTGAGTGTGGTACCTGTAGGTGAGTGTGGTACCTGTAGGTGAGTGCGGTACCTGTAGGTGAGTGCGGGACCTGTAGGTGAGTGAGTGTGGTACCTGTAGGTGAGTGCGGTACCTGTAGGAGTGACTGTGGTGAGTGCGGTACCTGTAGGTGAGTGGGTACCTGTAGGTGAGTGCGGTACCTGTAGGTGGTGTGGTACCTGTAGGTGAGTGCGGTACCTGTAGGTGAGTGTGGTACCTGTAGGTGAGTGTGGTACCTGTAGGTGAGTGTGGTACCTGTAGGTGAGTGAGTGCGGGACCTGTAGGTGAGTGTGGGACCTGTAGGTGAGTGCGGGACCTGTAGGTGAGTGTGGTACCTGTAGGTGAGTGTGGGACCTGTAGGTGAGTGTGGTACCTGTAGGTGAGTGTGGGACCTGTAGGTGAGTGTGGGACCTGTAGGTGAGTGCGGGACCTGTAGGTGAGTGTGGTACCTGTAGGTGAGTGTGGGACCTGTAGGTGAGTGTGGTACCTGTAGGTGAGTGTGGTACCTGTAGGTGAGTGAGTGCGGGACCTGTAGGTGAGTGTGGGACCTGTAGGTGAGTGCGGGACCTGTAGGTGAGTGTGGTACCTGTAGGTGAGTGTGGTACCTGTAGGTGAGTGAGTGCGGGACCTGTAGGTGAGTGTGGTACCTGTAGGTGAGTGTGGGACCTGTAGGTGAGTGCGGGACCTGTAGGTGAGTGCGGTACCTGTAGGTGAGTGCGGGACCTGTAGGTGAGTGTGGTACCTGTAGGTGAGTGAGTGCAGGACCTGTAGGTGAGTGCGGTACCTGTAGGTGAGTGCGGGACCTGTAGGTGAGTGAGTGTGGTACCTGTAGGTGAGTGAGTGCGGGACCTGTAGGTGAGTGCGGGACCTGTAGGTGAGTGAGTGTGGTACCTGTAGGTGAGTGTGGGACCTGTAGGTGAGTGCGGGACCTGTAGGTGAGTGCGGTACCTGTAGGTGAGTGCGGGACCTGTAGGTGAGTGTGGTACCTGTAGGTGAGTGAGTGCAGGACCTGTAGGTGAGTGCGGTACCTGTAGGTGAGTGAGTGTGGTACCTGTAGGTGAGTGAGTGCGGGACCTGTAGGTGAGTGCGGGACCTGTAGGTGAGTGAGTGTGGTACCTGTAGGTGAGTGCGGTACCTGTAGGTGAGTGAGTGCGGGACCTGTAGGTGAGTGAGTGTGGTACCTGTAGGTGAGTGTGGGACCTGTAGGTGAGTGCGGGACCTGTAGGTGAGTGCGGTACCTGTAGGTGAGTGCGGGACCTGTAGGTGAGTGTGGTACCTGTAGGTGAGTGAGTGCAGGACCTGTAGGTGAGTGCGGTACCTGTAGGTGAGTGAGTGTGGTACCTGTAGGTGAGTGAGTGCGGGACCTGTAGGTGAGTGCGGGACCTGTAGGTGAGTGAGTGTGGTACCTGTAGGTGAGTGCGGTACCTGTAGGTGAGTGAGTGCGGGACCTGTAGGTGAGTGTGGTACCTGTAGGTGAGTGAGTGCAGGACCTGTAGGTGAGTGCGGTACCTGTAGGTGAGTGAGTGCGGGACCTGTAGGTGAGTGCAGGACACGACGAGTTCCACGAGACCAACGTGCGTCACTCCGTGCAGCCTCCACGCGTCCAACGCCTCCAGGTGCGGGCAGGAGCGCGCCAGAGCGACCAGCACGTCGTCACCGCTCTCCACCTGCACCCCGTCAGCATCATCATCATCACCATCGTCATCATCACCATCATCATCATCATCACCATCATCATCATCATCACCATCGTCATCACCATCATCATCATCATCACCATCGTCATCATCATCATCATCATCACCATCATCATCATCATCATCACCATCGTCGTCATCATCATCATCATCACCATCGTCATCATCACCATCGTCATCATCACCATCATCATCATCATCACCATCGTCATCATCATCATCATCATCGTCATCATCACCATCGTCATCATCACCATCATCATCATCACCATCGTCATCATCACCATCGTCATCATCACCATCATCATCATCATCACCATCATCATCATCATCACCATCGTCATCATCATCATCATCATCGTCATCATCACCATCGTCATCATCACCATCATCATCATCATCACCATCATCATCATCATCACCATCGTCATCATCATCATCACCATCGTCATCATCACCATCATCATCATCACCATCATCATCGTCATCATCATCATCATCATCGTCATCATCACCATCATCATCATCATCATCACCATCATCATCATCATCGTCATCATCGTCATCATCATCATCACCATCATCATCATCATCATCATCGTCATCGTCATCATCACCATCATCATCATCATCACCATCGTCATCATCACCATCATCATCATCATCACCATCGTCATCATCACCATCATCATCATCACCATCATCATCATCATCATCGTCATCATCATCATCATCATCGTCATCATCACCATCGTCATCATCACCATCATCATCATCATCACCATCATCATCATCATCACCATCGTCATCATCATCATCATCATCACCATCGTCATCATCACCATCATCATCATCACCATCATCATCATCATCACCATCGTCATCATCACCATCATCATCATCATCACCATCATCATCATCACCATCATCATCATCATCATCACCGCTCTCCACCTCGTCAGCGTCATCATCATCACCAGCATCATCATCATCACCATCATCATCATCATCATCCACCAGCATCATCATCATCACCATCATCATCATCATCATCACCGCTCTCCACCTGCACCTCGTCAGCAGCGTCATCATCATCATCATCACCAGCATCATCATCATCATCACCAGCATCACCAGCATCACCAGCATCATCATCATCATCACCAGCATCATCATCATCATCACCAGGATCATCATCATCATCACCAGCATCATCATCATCACCGCTCTCCACCTCGTCACCATCGTCACCATCGTTATCATCATCATCACCACTATCGCCACCGCCATTGTCACCATCAACATCGTCACCACCACCATCTTCAGCGTTATCATCACCACCATCGCCACCGCCATTATCAACATCGTCACCACCATGAGCTTCATCATCAGCACCATCGCCACCGCCACTGTCATCATCAACATCGTCACCACCACCATCATCAGCGTCATCATCACCACCATCGTCACCGCCATTATCAACATCGTCACCACCACCACCATGAGCTTCATCATCTCCATCGTCACCACACTCCGCCTACACTTCATCGTCACCACCACCACCACCATCGTCGTCATCATCAACAACACCAGCACCACCTTCACCATCAGGTGCCGGTGGCGGTGCGGTGTGCGGTGTGCGTGGCGGCGCCATCTGTGGCGGTGCCCCGTGCGGTGTGCGTGGCGCCGTACCTGGACGCAGCTGCCGATGTTCAGGGTCTGGAGCTGTGGGCAGGCGCCGATGATCTCCGACAGCACCTCCTCCTGCGGCGACGTCGGTTCACACAGCCGCCAGCCGCACACAACCGACGAGGTCAGCTACAGCACCAACTCTTTCAGCAGCAGCATCAGCGGTAGCTTCAGCAGCAGCAGCATCATCATCATCGTCGTCGTCATCATCGTCATCAGCAGTAGCATCTGCAGCGTCATCAACGATGATGACGCTGCAGATGCTACTGCTGACACCTTTTTTACAAGGAGTCATGTTTGCATAGACCACAATACCTGCAGCCATAATGCAAACAAAAAACATTAAAAAAAACACTGTCCTTGAAATTGATTGGTCCACATCCGAGACAGCTTTTCTTAGAGCCTAGTCTCACATGGTGTTGGACCAGATGACGCCAAAAGGCGCACAACTCAAAGACAATGCACCATCAAAGTATGAGAGCTCGGGGTAAGCATTTACACCATTGGACCTCATTTGCCAGTAAAAAATAAGATAATTGGTTTTTTACCCTTCTATCTGGCAACAAAACTGACACCTGCAGGTATTGTGGTCTATGCAAACATGACTCATTGTAAAAAAGGTGTCAGTTTTGTTGCCAGATAGAAGGGTAAAAAACCAATTATCACGACGATGATGTCGTACACAAGACAAAGATTTCCCCGTGTACCCTTTACAGGGCTGTTCGGGACAAGTGGCGTTAGAGAGCTCCGATCAGAATTTAGAATATCAGAATACTAATTTGACTCCGGAGGAATCTGACGAGCCAGAAAGCTCTTTTTCACAGCTGGAACGGCACACGGCACACGGCACACGGCGCACGGCACACGGCACACGGCGGGGGTGGGGTGGGGTGGGCAGCATCACAACGCCCTTAGACCCCGTCTCCCCCAGCGACGATGTTTACACCTCGCACGGCATCAGGCGCAATCCGTTCTCCTATAACGCTCGTATTTTCACAACGCGCGTTGGGTATTGAACGCTGAAACTGAAAACATCTCCTGGCCACGGTGGCGGAATTCTTCCACTGCCCTGCTGCAGTCCGGCTTAGTGCACCGCCCAGTGGCAGCTGCCCCCGGACGGGGCAAGCTGCACATGCAGCGCCGGCGCTGCGCATGGGTCACGTCCGCCAGGACGGGGCGACCGTTGTTCCGTGGTTTGTTACCAGACTTGGTGTTCAAGACTATCACGCCAAGTAAGATGATGCTTACATACGTGTGTAAACCCGTAAACCCATAAGGTTTACACGTATTCTTGCACAGGGAAATCGAGTTTTCAGGTCCATACGGCGTACAGCCGTTTCAATACGGGCAAGATAAAATAATGTTTGTCTGTCTGTTTGCGTTTGTCGCTTGTGATGGGACTTTGCAGGATGAACGTTGAGATTTATAAGCGAACAATAAAGTCTGAATTGGTCTGTAATAAGGTAGGCATTGACAGGTAGGTGTTCATAAAAATGATGATTAAGATTCCTATCATGACGATGATGATGATGGCCATGATGGTGATGCTGATGACACACATGCACAAAGATCCCCCGTGTAGCCTGTAACAGACTGTCGGGGCAAGTGCTGTTAAACCCAGGATGGATCGTAGGCAGGCCAGCCTAAATGTTTCTAACACGCATGTGTACACACACACGTACACACAAACACACGTGTACACACACACACGTGTACACACACACACGTGTACACACACACACGTGTACACACATGCACGTACGTCCACGCCGGTGCGGTAGAGGTTGAGGTGGCGCAGTTCATGCAGCGAGGCGAGGGGACGGAAGGTCGACGCCGGCTGCGGCGTGCCGGCACCGGCGGCACCGGCACCGGCGGCGGCACCAGCGGCGGTGGTGGCGGCGGCGGTGTCGCGGCAGCACGAGAGGTCGAGCGCCCGCAGCGCCGGGCAGCAGCGCGCGATGGCGCCCACGCTCTCCTCCGTCACAAACTCGCAGCACGACAGCTCCAGCCGCAACAGCCCCCGCCCACAGCCCTCCAGGAAGCTGTGGGGGGCGGGGGGACGGGGGGGGCAGAGGGGGGGTGGGGGGGGCAGAGGGGCGGTGGGGGGGGGCACCACACAACAGATACACAAAGATAAAGATCATAACCCACCCACTCTCTAACCCACTCACCCACTCTCTATTCACTCACCCACCCACTCTCTAACCTACTCACCCACCCACTCTCTAACCCACTCACCCACCCACTCTCTAACCCACTCACCCTCTAACCCACTCTCTAACCCACTCACCCTCTAACCCACTCACCCTCTCACCCACTCACCCTCTAACCCACTCACCCACTCTCTATTCACTCACCCACCCACTCTCTAACCCACTCACCCACCCACTCTTTAACCCATTCACCCACCCACTCTCTAACCTACTCACCCACCCACTCTCTAACCCACTCACCCACCCACTCTCTAACCCACTCACCCACCCACTCTCTAACCCACTCACCCTCTAACCCACTCACCCACTCACCCACTCACCCTCTAACCCACTCACCCACTCTCTATTCACTCACCCACCCACTCTCTAACCCACTCACCCACTCTCTATTCACTCACCCACCCACTCTCTAACCCACTCACCCACTCTCTATTCACTCACCCACCCACTCTTTAACCCACTCACCCACACTCGATTCACTCACCCACCCACTCTCTAACCCACTCACCCACCCACTCTCTAACCCACTCACCCACCCACTCTCGAACCCACTCACCCACCCACTCTTTAACCCACTCACCCACACTCGATTCACTCACCCACCCACTCTCTAACCCACTCACCCACCCACTCTCTAACCCACTCACCCACCCACTCTCTAACCTACTCATCCACCTACTCTCTAACTCACTCATCCACCCACTCTCTAACCTACTCACCCACCCACTCTCTAACCCACTCACCCACCCACTCTCTAACCCACTCACCCACCCACTCTCTAACCCACTCACCCACCCACTCTCTAACCCACTCACCCACTCACCCTCTAACCCACTCACCCACTCTCTATTCACTCACCCACCCACTCTCTAACCCACTCACCCACTCTCTATTCACTCACCCACCCACTCTCTAACCCACTCACCCACCCACTCTCTAACCCACTCACCCACCCACTCTCTAATCCACTCACCCACCCACTCTCTAACCTACTCACCCACCCACTCTCTAACCCACTCACCCACCCACTCTCTAACCCACTCACCCACACTCGATTCACTCACCCACCCACTCTCTAACCCACTCACCCACACTCGATTCACTCACCCACCTACTCTCTAACCCACTCACCCACTCTCAATAGACTCACCCACTCTCTAACCCACTCACCCACTCCCGATTCACTCACCCACCCACCCTCTAACCCATTCACCCACTCTCTATTAACTCACCCACCCACTCTCTATTCACTCACCCACCCACTCTCTATTCACTCACCCACCCACTCTCTATTCACTCACCCACCCACTCTCTAACCCACTCACCCACCCACTCTCTAACCCACTCGCCCACCCACTCTCTAACCCACTCGCCCACCCACTCTCTAACCCACTCGCCCACCCACCCACTAACCCACTCACCCACCCACTCTCTAACCCACTCACCCACCCACTCTCTAACCTACTCACCCACCCTCTAACCCACTCGCCCACCCACTCTCTAACCCACTCACTTTCTAAACCCACTCACCCACTTACCAATCCACCCACCCACCCTCTCACTATCGCTGCACTCACCCACCCACTCTCTAACCCACTCACCCACTCCCGATTCACTCACCCACCCACTCTCTAACCCACTCACCCACTCTTGACACTCCATCACTCGCTCTGTCTCCCTGTCGCCGGTGCCCGCGCCGCTGAGAGGGGGAGGTGGGAGGGGTGGGGGGGTGGTGATTGGGGGGGGGGGTGAGGACTGGGGAGGGGGGGGGCGTTGGCCTCACCGCACGAACCCCCCGACAGTGACGAGGCCGCGCCCCCCGGCCCAGGAGAGGCCCAGGGCCTGCGTGTGAGTGCAGCGCGGCGCCAGCGCCTGCAGCTGCGCGTCGCCCACGCTGGGCCAGTAGGGGCGCAGGTCGAGGCGCTGGTACTGCGCCGGGTCCTCGGCGTGCGCCCGCAGCAGGCGGCACGTGCGGCACAGGCGGCACAGGTCCCGCAGCGGCACGTGGGACAGGATCAGCTGGATCAGCTGTGCGGGTGGAGGGGTGGGGGGGCGGGGGGGCGGGGGGCGGGAGAGTTTTGGAGAGTGAGTGGGTGGGTGGGAGAGTGGGTTGGTGGGTGGGAGAGTGGGTGGGTAGGTGGGTGGAAAAGTGAGTGGGTGGGTGGATGGGAGAGTGAGTGAGTGGGTGGGTGGGTGGGAGAGTGGATGGGAAAGTGGCAAAGTGAGTGGGTGGGAGAGTGAAGAGGTGGGTGGGTAGGTGGGTGGGTGGAAGAGTGAGTGGGTGGATGGGAGAGTGAGTGGGTGGGTGGGAGAGTGGGTGGGTGGGTGGGAGAATGGCAAAGTGAGTGGGTGGGAGAGTGAGGAGGTGGGTGGGTAGGTGGGTAGAAGAGTAAGTGGGTGGGTGGGAGAATGAGTGGGTGGGTGGGTAGGTGGGTGGAAGAGTGAGTGGGTGGATGGGAGAGTGAGTGAGTGGGTGGGTGGGAGAGTGGGTGGGTGGGAGAGTGGCAAAGTGAGTGGGTGGGAGAGTGAGGAGGTGGGTGGGTAGGTGGGTAGAAGAGTAAGTGGGTGGGTGGGAGAATGAGTGGGTGGGTGGGTAGGTGGGTGGAAGAGTGAGTGGGTGGATGGGAGAGTGAGTGAGTGGGTGGGTGGGAGAGTGGGTGGGTGGGAGAGTGGCAAAGTGAGTGGGTGGGAGAGTGAGGAGGTGGTGGGTAGGTGGGTGGAAGAGTGAGTGGGTGGATGGGAGAGTGAGTGAGTGAGTGGGTGGGTGGGACAGTGGGTGGGTGGGAGAGTGGGTAGGTGGGAGAGTGGGTGGGTGGATGGGTGGGTGGGAAAGTGAGTGGGTGGGTGGGTAGGTGGGTGGAAGAGTGAGTGGGTGGATGGGAGAGTGAGTGAGTGGGTGGGTGGGACAGTGGGTGGGTGGGAGAGTGGGTGGGTGGGAGAGTGGGTGGGTGGATGGGTGGGTGGGAAAGTGAGTGGGTGGGTGGGAGAGTGGGAAATTGATTGAGTAGGTGGAAGAGTGAGTGGGTGCGAGAGTGGATGGCTGGGTGGGTAAGTTAGTGGGTGGGTGGCAGAGTGAGTGGGTGGGAGAGTGGGTAGATTGTCGGGTGAGTGGGTGGGTGTGGGAGTGGGTGGGTGGGTGCATGAGTAGGTGAGTGCATGGGTGAGTAGATGGGCCAGTGATTGGGTGGAGGTATGGGTTGTAGTTGGGTGATTGAGTGGGTGTGATGGTGGATGAGTGGGTTGGTGGGCTAGTGAGTTGGTGAGTGTGTCAGTGAGTTAATGAGTGATGGGGTGGGTGGGTGATGGTGTGTGTGTGAGCATGCGTGAGTGAGTGGTAAGAGTGAATTAGAAGCGTGTGAATGCGTAGGTGAGTGTAGTGCGGAGCAGCGGTGCAGCGGTTAGCGCATTGCACAATGAACCCGGCCAGCCAAGTTCAATTCCCGCTCACGGCCGACACCAGTGACGATTATCTCAACCGGTCCTGGACCTCCTCTAGGTCGACTCGACCTCGAATGAGTACCGGGTGCGGTGTGTAAACATCGCCACTGGCGTGGTGGTGCTGACCACCCACCCCCTCGTGTGCCCTGCCGGCCTTCATAGATGCTCTCAAACAGCACTTGCCCCGACAGTCTAAGGTTATATGGGGGATCATTGTCTTTGTGAGTGAGGTCGCTGTCCCCTCACCTCGTATGGCAGCAAGTCAAAGTAGCCATTCCCGCTGCAAGCCTCCGAGCTCCTGGTGGCCTGAGGCATCTTCTCGTTGACCTTCCACCCATCTCCTCCGCATCCACCATCGCCGCCACCACCACCATCGCCGCCACCACCACCATCACCGTCATCCTCATGATCGCCGTTGACGTCACCACCATCATCGTCGTCGTCGTCGTCATCGCCATCGTCGTCATAGTCGTCGTCGTCGTCATCAACATCATCATCGTCATCGGCATCGTCGTCGTCATCGGCCTCGGCGTCGTCACCGTCGCTCCCTCCTCGCCCGCGGCCGGCGCGCTCCTCGGCGCGCCCCACCGGTCGGTGCGGGGGGCCGGTGGCGGCGGTGGTGGTGGTGGCGGCAGCGGTGCCGCGCAGCACCACGGCGTCCAGCTCGGTGTAGTAGTCGCACAGCGAGCAGTCCAGCTCCAGGCGCAGCAGCTCTGTCGCAAAACCCGGCCGGCGGATCCGCGGGCAGAACTCCCGCGACCGGTTCGCTCCCAGCAGCTTGGGGGGGCCCGACCACAGCGTCGCCCAGCTGGGGGGGTGGGGGGCAGGGGTGAGGGGCGGGGGGAGGGGCGGGGGAAGATGTGAGGAGACGTGAGATGTCGGGAGACGCGGGGTGATGCGGGGAGATGTGGGTAGTCGTGCGATGAGATGTCGGGAGACGTGGGGTGATGTGGAAAGACACGGGGAGACGCTAGGAGACACGGGGAGACGCGGGGTGACATGGGGAGACGCGGGGTGACATGGGGAGACGCGGGGTGACATGAGGAGACGCAGGGAGACATGGGGAGACGTGGGGTGACATGGGGAGACATGGGGAGACGTGAAATGAGATGTCAGGAGGATGTGAAGAGACACGGGGAAGCGTTTGTGTACTATTCAGCTGTTCCACTTCTGCTACCTGCCGAGGTTTGGCACGGCCAGCACCACGCCCGGCCGCTACCACCACTCCCTATCACCTCGCCCCATTCACACACCACCATCACCTCTCACCACAGCTTCAATGTGTTTCACAACAGACTGCTGGGGCAAGTGCTGTTAGAAGCACCAATTCAGACCAGCACACAAGGTGTTAAGTGGCCAGCACCACGATCGGCCGCCTGATTTGAGGCTGAGTCGACCTAAGGGACCGGTTCAGATAATCGCCACCGATGTTGGCCGTGATGAGCGGGATTTTAACTTTGGTCACCGAATTCATGGCGCATCGCGCTAACCGCTGCACCACCGCTCCTCACACCAGCACGACCAGCACCACAAGCACCGCCATCGCAATCACCGCCACCACAACCACTGCCTCTGATTAGCACGGTGGGCTACGTACGGTGCAAAAGAAGTTCAACATACTTACCACCACCGCCACCATTACCACCACCGTCACCACCAGCAGCAGCACCACCGCCACCATCACCACCATCGTCACCACCACCGCCACTAGCACCACCACCGCCACCACCACCACCATTACCACCACTGTCACCGCCATCACCGCCACCATTACCACCACCGTCACCACTACCAGCACCACCACCGCCACCATCACCGCCACCGCCACCACCACCACCGTCACCACCACCGTCACCACCACCAGCAGCACCACCGCCACCACCACCGCCACCACCGCCACCACCACCACCACCGTCACCACCACCAGCAGCACCACCACCATCGTCACCACCACCGCCACTAGCACCACCGCCACCGCCACCACCACCACCGCCACCATTACCACCACTGTCACCACCACCACCGCCACCATTACCACCACCGTCACCCCCACCAGCAGCACCACCGCCACCATCACCGCCACCACCACCACCACCACCACCACCGCCACCACCACCACCACCGCCACCACCACCACCACCGCCGCCACCACCACCACCACCGTCACCACCACCACCACCATCGTCACCACCACCGCCACTAGCACCACCACCGCCGCCATCACCACCACCGCCACCATCACCACCATCAGCAGCACCACCACCATCGTCACCGCCACCGCCACCCCCACCACCACCACCGTCACCACCACCACCACCACCGCCACCACCGCCACCAGCAGCAGCATCTCTCACCGCGGCCCCTTCCCGTCGGCCCCGGCGCCGCTCTCCCTGGCGAGGATGCGGACAACGGTGCCGGGGTTGTAGACCTCCAGCACGCCGACAGAGCTCGGGCGCACGGCGCGAGCGAACGCCACCTCCACAAAGTCGCGGGCGCGGAACGCCGGCGGGGCGCGCGCCGGCGGGGCCGCCCCCCGCTGCCACCAGCGGCCGTAGGTGCGCGGCACGGCCGCCTGCGTCACGTCGCCGTGCGCCGGGAAGACGCTGGGCGGCCCCGCCAGGTTCCCCATGGTGTAGGAGAGGCTGCCCTCCGAGCCGTACTGCGAACTGGGGGGACGGGGTGGGGGGCGTAGCCGGGTGGGGGGGGGTAGAGGGCGAAGACGTTCAAGGTGATTGTCGATTGACCGGATGATCGAAGCGATAACGCTGGTCAACACACTTTTTTCTGGTACAAGGTATTCCAACGGTTTTAAGGTAATTTTGGGGTGCTGATTCCAATTGTCTATCACATCAGGTTTTTGAGATATCAAATATTGCATTTTTAAAAACTGCGGAAGAAAGATATTAAACAAATGTGGATATCTACATAAAATGATATTATAAACACACTATCCTAAAAATACAGCACCATATTTTAACACTAAAGCAGTCACTGACTCGCAACAACTTGCAATCATAAGTGACAGAGTTCATTTCGGGTAAAATCAATGAAAATGGGGTATGCCGATAGCATAAAAATTAGATGTGATAGAGCACATCTGAGATCAGATTTGGAATCAGCACCCTGAAATTAGTCGATTGCTTAAGTGAACGGACTACAGCCCAGCTCTGGTCCAGTCCCACGTGCACACAAAGATCCCCCGTGTAGCCTTAACAGACTGTTGGGGCAAGTGCTGTTAGCGAGCAGCACCTATGAAGGCCGACACGGCACACGAGGGGGTAGGTGGCCAGCACCGCGCCCGGCCGCCTTTGTCTCCCCAGTGGTGATGTTTACACACCGCACCAGGTGCTCATTTGTGGTTGAGTCGACCTTGGGGAGGCCCTGCACCGATTAAGATACTCATCGCTAATGTTGGCCGCGAGCGGGAATCGAGATCGGATCGCCGGGTTCGTAGCGCAGCGCGCTCACTGCTACGCGCTAACCGCTACTCCACCACTCGCCACGCACGCACACACTCACACACGCACACACGCACACACACACTCACTCACACACTCACGCACGCACACACACACACTCACACACTCACGCACACACGCACGCACTCACACACTCACACACTCACGCACTCACACACACTCTCACGCACGCACACACTCACGCACTCACACACACACACTCACGCACGCACACACACACACACTCACACACACACTCACACACTCACACACACACCCACACACACACACACACTCACGCACGCACACACACACACACTCACACACTCACGCACACACGCACACACGCACGCACTCACACACTCACACACTCACGCACTCACACACACTCTCACGCACACACTCACGCACTCACACACACACACTCACGCACGCACACACTCATGCACACTCGCGCACACACACTCACACACTCACACACACTCACACACTCACGCACTCACACACTCGCACACTCACACACTCGCACACTCACGCATGCACGCACTCACGCACCTGAAGTCGACCACCTGCGAGGCGTACTGACTGAAGACCAGGTTCGACTCCGCCCCGGGGAGAGCGTCCGTCTCCTCTTCCGACAATGAGACATCGACGACGACATCATCGCCTCCTCGCCCTCCTCCACCATCGTCAGCAGCGCCACGGTGGCCGGCGCCGGCATCGAAGGCCGGTGGTTGAGAGTGGGCGAAGGGCAGGTGCCGTAGGCAGGTGTAGTACACGGCGGTCAGGACCGTCAGCATGAGGTGCAGGGGAGGAGGAAACGGGCCAGCCCTGTTGTGCAGGCACACCAATCCGCAATGATCCAACACTCGTCGATTAGCCCAGCCACTCATTGATTAACCCAGCCACTCACTCATTGATTAGCCCAGCCCCTCACTCATTGAGTAGCCCAGCCACTAGCTCATTGATTAGCCCAGCCACTAGCTCATTGATTAGCCCAGCCACTCACTCATTGATTAGCCCAGCCACTAACTCATTGATTAGCCCAGCCACTCATTCATTGATTAGCCCAGCCATTCACTCATTGATTTGCCCAGCCACTCACTCATTGATTAGCCCAGCCACTCATTCATTGATTAGCCCAGCCACTCACTCATCGACTACCCCAGCCACTCACTCATTGACTACCCCAGCCACTATCTCATTGATTAGCCCAGCCACTCACTCATTGATTAGCCCAGCCACTAGCTCATTGATTAGCCCAGCCACTCACTCATTGCCTACCCCAGCCACTCACTCATTGATTAGCCCAGCCACTCACTCATTGCCTACCCCAGCCACTCACTCATTGATTAGCCCAGCCACTCACTCATTGATTACCCCAGCCACTCACTCATTGATTAGCCCAGCCACTAGCTCATTGATTAGCCCAGCCACTCACTCATTGATTAGCCCAGCCACTCACTCATTGCCTACCCCAGCCACTCACTCATTGATTAGCCCAGCCACTCACTCATTGATTACCCCAGCCACTCACTCATTGATTAGCCCAGCCACTAGCTCATTGATTAGCCCAGCCACTCACTCATTGATTACCCCAGCCACTCACTCATTGATTAGCCCAGCCACTCACTCATTGATTAGCCCAGCCACTCACTCATTGATTAGCCCAGCCACTCACTCATTGATTAGCCCAGCCACTCACTCATTGATTAGCCCAGCCACTAGCTCATTGATTAGCCCAGCCACTCACTCATTGATTACCCCAGCCACTCACTCATTGATTACCCCAGCCACTCACTCATTGATTACCCCAGCCACTCACTCATTGATTAGCCCAGCCACTCACTCATTGATTAGCCCAGCCACTCGCTCATTGATTACCCCAGCCACTCACTCATTGATTAGCCCAGCCACTCACTCATTGATCAGCCCAGCCACTCACTCATTGATTACCCCAGCCACTCACTCATTGATTAGCCCAGCCACTCACTCATTGATTAGCCCAGCCACTAGCTCATTGATTAGCCCAGCCACTCACTCATTGATTAGCCCAGCCACTCACTCATTGACTACCCCAGCCACTCGCTCATTGATTAGCCCAGCCACTCACTCATTGATTAGCCCAGCCACTCACTCATTGCCTACCCCAGCCACTCGCTCATTGATTAGCCCAGCCACTCGCTCATTGATTAGCCCAGCCACTCACTCATTGATTAGCCCAGCCACTCACTCATTGACTACCCCAGCCACTAGCTCATTGATTAGCCCAGCCACTCGCTCATTGATTAGCCCAGCCACTCACTCATTGACTACCCCAGCCACTCGCTCATTGATTAGCCCAGCCACTCACTCATTGATTAGCCCAGCCACTCACTCATTGATTAGCCCAGCCACTCACTCATTGCCTACCCCAGCCACTCACTCATTGATTAGCCCAGCCACTCACTCATTGATTACCCCAGCCACTCACTCATTGATTAGCCCAGCCACTCACTCATTGATTAGCCCAGCCACTCACTCATTGATTAGCCCAGCCACTCACTCATTGATCAGCCCAGCCACTCACTCATTGATTACCCCAGCCACTCACTCATTGATTAGCCCAGCCACTCACTCATTGATTAGCCCAGCCACTAGCTCATTGATTAGCCCAGCCACTCACTCATTGATTAGCCCAGCCACTCACTCATTGACTACCCCAGCCACTCGCTCATTGATTAGCCCAGCCACTCACTCATTGATTAGCCCAGCCACTCACTCATTGATTAGCCCAGCCACTTACTCATTGATTAGCCCAGCCACTCACTCATTGATTAGCCCAGCCACTCACTCGTCGATTAGCCCAGCCACTCACTCATTGCTTAGCCCAGCCACTAGCTCATTGATTAGCCCAGCCACTCACTCATTGATTAGCCCAGCCACTCACTCATTGACTACCCCAGCCACTCGCTCATTGATTAGCCCAGCCACTCGCTCATTGATTAGCCCAGCCACTCACTCATTGATTAGCCCAGCCACTCACTCATTGACTACCCCAGCCACTAGCTCATTGATTAGCCCAGCCACTCGCTCATTGATTAGCCCAGCCACTCACTCATTGACTACCCCAGCCACTCGCTCATTGATTAGCCCAGCCACTCACTCATTGATTAGCCCAGCCACTCACTCATTGATTAGCCCAGCCACTCACTCATTGCCTACCCCAGCCACTCACTCATTGATTAGCCCAGCCACTCACTCATTGATTACCCCAGCCACTCACTCATTGATTAGCCCAGCCACTCACTCATTGATTAGCCCAGCCACTCACTCATTGATTAGCCCAGCCACTCACTCATTGATCAGCCCAGCCACTCACTCATTGATTACCCCAGCCACTCACTCATTGATTAGCCCAGCCACTCACTCATTGATTAGCCCAGCCACTAGCTCATTGATTAGCCCAGCCACTCACTCATTGATTAGCCCAGCCACTCACTCATTGACTACCCCAGCCACTCGCTCATTGATTAGCCCAGCCACTCACTCATTGATTAGCCCAGCCACTCACTCATTGATTAGCCCAGCCACTTACTCATTGATTAGCCCAGCCACTCACTCATTGATTAGCCCAGCCACTCACTCGTCGATTAGCCCAGCCACTCACTCGTCGATTAGCCCAGCCACTCACTCATTGATTAGCCCAGCCACTCACTCATTGACTACCCCAGCCACTCACTCATTGATTACCCCAGCCACTCACTCATTGATTAGCCCAGCCACTCACTCATTGATTAGCCCAGCCACTCACTCATTGACTAGCCCAGCCACTCACTCATTGATTAGCCCAGCCACTCACTCATTGATTAGCCCAGCCACTCACTCATTGATTAGCCCAGCCACTCACTCATTGATTAGCCCAGCCACTCGTCGATTAGCCCAGCCACTCACTCATTGACTAGCCCAGCCACTCACTCATTGATTAGCCCAGCCACTCACTCATTGATTAGCCCAGCCACTCACTCGTCGATTTGCCCAGCCACTCACTCATTGATTAGCCCAGCCACTCGCTCATTGATTAGCCCAGCCACTAGCTCATTGATTAGCCCAGCCACTCACTCAATGATTAGGCCAGCCACTCACTCGTCGATTAGCCCAGCCACTAACTCATTGATTTGCCCAGCCACTCACTCATTGATTAGCCCAGCCACTCACTCATTGATTAGGCCAGCCACTCACTTATTGACTACCCCAGCCACTCACTCATTGATTAGCCCAGCCACTCACATATTGACTACCCCAGCCACTCACTCATTGATTTGCCCAGCCACTCACTCACTGATTAGCCCAGCCACTCACTCATTGATTAGGCCAGCCACTCACTTATTGACTACCCCAGCCACTCACTCATTGATTAGCCCAGCCCCTCACTTATTGACTACCCCAGCCACTCACTCATTGATTAGCCCAGCCACTCACTAATTGATTAGCCCAGCCACTCACTCATTGACTAGCCCAGCCACTCACTCGTTGACTACCCCAGCCACTAGCTCATTGATTACCCCAGCCACTCACTCGTCGATTAGCCCAGCCACTCACTCATTGACTACCCCAGCAACTCACTCATTGAATAGCCCAGCCACTCACTCATTGATTAGCCCAGCCACTCACTCATTGATTAGCCCAGACACTCACTCATTGATTAGCCCAGCTATCCCAGCTAGATCCTGACAGGTGAGGGTCTGTGCAGGTGAGGGCTTTGACGGGTGAGTGTGGGTACAGGTGAGTGTGGTGGTGGTGGACCTTGCATGCTGCTTGCGAATGTGCAGTGGCTGAGAGTTCCAGACGGCTACTGGGGCAGCAGCAGCAGCAGCTCACAATGCGCAAGCTGCTGATGCTGCTGATGATGCAAATGAGCCTCACAACACCGGCTCGCCCCGTCTCTACGACCCATGGTAACAATGGTAACCGTGGCAACGCGCTAACTACTGTACGTCTCGCGATGCCAACAGCTGGTGACTGTGCAATTACCTTATTGCAGACCAATTTAGACCTTATTGGTCATCCCGTGCCCCCTAATAAACTTCAACGTTCATCCTACAAAGTCACCATCACGAGGGTAGAAACAACAAGACATGTATCGGCGAGTTGGCGTCCGAGTTCAACTTTCGCTCGCGAACACCACGAACTACTCACACGGTCGACTTGAGGCCTTCCCCCTGCGCTGACTGCGGGGTGACGTCACCGCGAGAGTGTAAACACACGACATGACGTCACCGCGAGCGTGTAAACACACGACATGACGTCAGCCACGAGTGTGTAAACACACGCCATGAAGTGGTGACGTCACCGCGAGCGTGTAAACACACGCCATGACGTCAGCCGCGAGCGTGGGGAAACGCACACGTGCGCAGTGACGTCATCGCGTCCCGCGAATACGCGTTACGACGTCACGGGAAGCGTCGTGTTACGTTGACATCCGGGAACGTGTTTAGTGACGTCATTTAAAAGAAACCTGTGTGATGTCACCGTGCACCAACGGGCTCAAGGGAGCAGCGCTTACGTCACGCGTACAGCGTGTTGTGCGGACGCGCTTTGCTGGTGGCCGGCCTGTGCGTCGTGACGTCACGACGTAGAGCCGTACGTGATGACGTAGAGCCGTACGTGATGACGCCAACGACGCCTGCGCGCCATGATGATGGCACTGCGGAGCAGGATGACGTCACCGACGTGGTGACACAACCGGGGTGACGTCACCGAAGGGTGTAAACACGGAACTACGGCGAGTGGTGCGGCTGACAAACGCGATTTGATCAGAACCTGTAGAGTGCAGTAGGAATCCGAAGAGCTATGAAGCTCTTATTTTTCACAGATACGTCCAGTGGGGGCACGGGGTGAGAACGTGACAACACGAAACGATTATGAAAATATTTTTTCCCCTTTTTTCTGGCAACAAAACAGGTGTTGAGATAGTAGTAGGTTTTTACCCTTTCGACTGGTACAAAAACTGACACCTCATGTTTGCAATAACCACAACACAAGCAGTCAAAATGCAAACAAAAATAAACAACTCTGATAATGATATGCACTACCCTTGAAGTTGATTGGTCCACACCCGAGACAGCTTTTCTTAGAGCCTAGTCCCCATTGGTATTGGACCAGATGACGCCTAAAGGCGTTCAACTTAAAGACAGCGAACTATCAGAGTATTGAGAGCTCGGGGTAAGCATTTACACTATGAGACCTCCTTTACCAGTGGCAAAATATAGTAGTAGGTTTTTACCCTTTCAACTGGTACAAAAACTGACACCTTTATACATGTTGAGATGTTAAAACACGAAACAGAAACCTTTTAGAAGGAATCACGTCTGCGTTAACCACAATGCTTGTGGTCAGAATGCAAACAAACGAAAATACTCTGATAATATCATCATCATCATTAGACCTCCTTTGCCAGTACCAAAATATAATAATAGGGTTTCCCCCCTTTTGTCTGGCAACAAAACTGAAACCTTTTTACGAGGATTCATGTCTGCATTAACCACAATACTTGCAGTCAAAATGCAAACAAAAAACATACTCTAATAATAAATGTATTGTCTTCTTGGTTCTTTCGGTAAAGTGACGTAGAAGGGAAATAATAAAATTATAAAAATAAAACATAATAAAATAAAATTCTCACGACGTTTCGGCCACAACACAAGCAGCCGTCCTCAGGTGAAAAAAATATGCATTGTCCTTGAAACTGATTGGTCCACACCAGAGACAGCTTTCTTTTGAGCCTCGACCCAACTGGTGATCGACCAGATGACGCCACAAGACTGCAAGTATTGTGGTCATGGAAGACATGAATCCTTGTAAATAGGTTTCAGTTTGTTGCCAGAAAAAAGGAGAAAACCCCTTTTATTATACTCTGATAATATGCATTGTCATTGAAACTGATTGGTCTACGTCTTTTGGACGAACACCGTTTTGAGACGAGGCTCAAAAGAAAGCTGTCTCTGGTGTGGCCCAATCAGTTTTAGAGACAATGCATAGATTATCAGAGTATAATCTTGATTTGAAGCTTTCGTGACTGCAGGAATCCATAGTCTTTGGTTCTTTCGGTAAAGTCACGTAGGTAGAAAAATAATCGAGCACGACGTTTCGATCGCAACACAAGCAATCGTCATCAGATGGGACAACCACAGCAAGAACAAACTGCTGACTTCTGCAGTTTTTTTCTTGATGTGACCGATTACACTTGTCAACAAAAAAAAACAATTCTGGCCTGGACTTTTGCAGCTGTTCTAGACTAATTTCAGGGTGCTGATTCCAAATCTGATCTCAGATTTGCTCTATCACATCTCATTTTTACGCTATCGGCATACCCCATTTTCATGGATTTTACCCGAAATAAACTCTGTCACTTAGGATTGCAAGTTGTTGCGAGTCAGTGACTGCTTTAGTGTTAAAATATGGTGCTGTATTTTTAGGATAGTGTGTTTATAATATCATTTTATGTAGATATACACATTTATTTAATATTTTTCTTCTGCAGTTTTTATTGAAAATGCAATATTTGATATCTCAAAAACCTGATGTGATAGACAAAAACTGATGCCAGATTTGGAATCAGCACCCAAAATTACCTTGAAACCGTTGGAATACCTTATGCCAGAAAAAGTGTGTTGACCAGTGTTATTAGAGTATGTTTTTTGTTTGCAATCTGACCACAAGAATTTTGGTCAATACAGACATGATTCATTGTAAAAGGTTTCAGTTTGGTGTTTTAACATCTCAACACAACTGTTTTGTTGCCAGAAAAAAGGGGAAAACCTTTAATCATATTTTGGAACTGGCAAAGGAGGTCCTATGATGTAGCAACTAAACTATTGTGTGTTGTATATTACGAGGTGTAAGGCCCCACTCCTGGCAGGCCATCACCAATAATTATAACACTGGTCAACACACTTTTTCTGGCATAAGGTATTCCAACGGTTTTAAGGTAATTTTGGGATGCCGATTCCAAATCTGGCATCATTTTTTGTCTATCACATCAGGTTTTTGAGATATCAAATATTTCATTTTCAATAAAAACTGCAGAAGAAAAATATTAAATAAATGTGGATATCTACATAAAATGATATTTTAAACACACTATCCTAAAAATACAGCACCATATTTAACACTAAAGCAGTCACTGACTCGCAACAACTTGCAATCATAAGTGACAGTTAATTTCGGGTAAAATCAATGAAAATGGGGTATGCCGATAGCATAAAAATGAGATGTGATAGAGCAAATCTGAGATCAGATTTGGAATCAGCACCCTGAAATTAGTCTAGAACAGCTGCAAAAGTCCAGGCCAGAAAAAAATGTTGTTTTTGTTGTTGACCAGTGTGATAGCTTCAACGACGTGCGATCTCTTTTGTATCGGACAAGGTGGTGGGGTGAATGAGGTGGATATCGCAACCTCCACAAGAGGTCGCTACTGCATCGAGGAGAGATGCGATGGTGATGATGTGGCTCGCGTCGATGGTGATTTGGTTGAATGGTTTGAGAGAGATGGCAGGGAGATTTGAAAGAGGCAAAGCGGGGTCACCGTTGACTAAGCCATCCAGAGGGATTGGTTAAGCCCTGTGTTAATTACCCTTTACTGCAACCTTGGTTCTGAATCGTTTACGAATGTTTAACGTGCATGAATAGGGTTTGATGAAACGTGCTTAATTTGTGTTTCGATTATTTACCTTCTAAACAAAAATCTGGCCATGTCCACTTACGAACAACACCCGCACTTACGAACACCACCTTAACTTACGAACACCACCTTAACTTACGAACACCACCCCAGGTTAAGAAGAAAAACCACCGGGTTCGAAGGGGATGTGCGGAGATGATAGAGGGGGACGAGGAGGATGAAAAGGGAGGAGGGGGCCCTGGGGAGAGGGAAGGCAGGGGAGTGGTATGACGGGACCTTTGTTTGCCAGTCCAGGCAGTCCCCGCCTTACGAACACCCTCACTTACGAACAACCCCCACTGACGAGCACCCTCACTTATGAACCCGCACTTACGCACACCACCCACACTTACAAACACCCGCACTTACGAACAATCCGTACGGACAAACACAAGCACTTACGCACACCCGCACTTATGAACAATCCGCACTTACGAACACAACTCGCACTTAAGAACAACCCGCACTTATGAACAATCCGCACTTACAAACAACCCGACTTTCGAACACCACCCGTATTTACGAACACCCACACTTACAAACAACCCACACTTACAAACAACCCACACTTACAAACAACCCACACTTACGAACAACACCCCCACTTACAAACAACCCACACTTACGAACAACACCCGGACTTACAAACAACCCACACTTACGAACACCACCCACACTTACGAACACCCACACTTACGAACACACACACATACGAACACCCGCACTTACGAACCAGCTTCCATGAAAGATTTGTTGTTTTTTAAATCGACTTAAAACGCGAAATCTCTCACCTTGCTAATTGATCCGCGGGACAATTTTTTGTTCAGCTCAGCGATACTCCGCGAGATGTAAATGAGTCTGCCTCATGCTGGGAGTGAGTGCTTGTGTGTACCTGTGTGGGCATTTAAACACAGTAAATTACTGTTTTCCGACTTACGAACAGTTCGACTTACGACGGGTCTCAAGAACGAATTGTGTTCGTAAGTCGATGACCGTCCGTTATCAAAGTATGAACAATAAGAAAACATGCTCTGATATTAAGGATGTTATTAACCAGGTAAAACCTAAACTGCGTTATAGTTTCCTTCATATCCGCATCACCAGTTTTCTTCAGCCTCCTACCCCCAGCCACGCTTACTTCCCAGCCCCGGCATTGTGTTGTACTTGCAGCACCCCACTCCCCCTAATCTACACCCTCCTCTCTATCGCTCCACCCTGGCTTCGCCCCCCGTCTCTTACTTATATAGCCTCTTAAATTTCGATTTAAAGCTTTCGTGATGCAGGGATTCATCTTCTTGGTTCTTTCGGTAAAGTCACGTAGAAGGGAAATAATAAAATAATAAAAATAAAACATAATTAAATTATTTTCACGACGTTTCGGCCACAACGCAAGCAGCCGTCCTCAGGTGAAGAACAGGTCTGTCGGAAAGACAGCGTCTGAATGAACACCACCAGGCTTGGCAGCGTATATTTAAGCTGGGTTGGAGGGGGAAGAGCGCCTTGACAAAATAATTTGCATATCAAGAGGAATTTTGCATATTTATATAGCCTCTTGTTGCAGCAGCCATTTTGCCCACTTCAGCAATTGTTTCTTGCTGTGGTTGTCCCACCTGATGACGGACGCTTGTGTTGCGCCCGAAACGTCGTGATTTAATTTGTTATTTTATACCTGCGTGACTTTAGCGAAATAGCCAAAGAGAATGCTCTGATACTATATAATATTTGTTTTAATGTTTTGGCGGTTAATGCCGTGCCTTGATGCATTGCAAACCGTGCATCATCTATTGGGTGTTTGAACATCTTAACACAACTCCTGTTTGATTGCCAGAGGGGGGTAAAACGCCTATTGTGCTTTTCACCATGGGATTGGAGTTGGCTGGTGGTGGCCACTGGACGTTGCTAGGGAGGACAATCAACTTAAATTTCGATTTTAAGCTTTCCTGACAGCTTAAATAGACGCTCCAAGCGTGGTGGTGTTTCATTCAGACGCTGTCTCCTCGACAGACCTGGTCTTCACCTGAGGACGGCTGCTTGCGTTGTGGCCGAAACGTCGTGAGAATTATTTTATTATGTTTTATTTTTATTATGTTATTACTTCCCTTCTACGTGACTTTACCGAAAGAACCAATAATACAATCAACTTGCTATAAGAAGTGATACATTTGCAGTCCCAATTCATTACACATGTTGAACTTCTTTCGCACCGTACGTAGCCAACCGTGCTGGGAAGGACAACTAAACACCACAACAAGCAATTGTGGAGAAATGAAAGTGTCAATCTAGATGATTGTTTAACAGTGCATAGCTCCACAACGTCGTAATATCGGTAAGGAAGAGCATTCCAGACGGCCGCAGAAGCGCTTTCGAAAGCGCCGCGCGATGATCGGTGACCACCGCCATTGTTCGATAGCCACTGCTGCCAGAATGCCCGGGAGTTGGCGTGGTGATGGTTTATGCTCCTTTACCAGATCAGCAAAATCATCGTGGTTCATTTGTAGCGAGCGCTTCGTGTGTAATGAGCACGACCCCAACATCTACCCCCCCCCCCCCCTCGACGCCCACCACAGCGTCGAGCTTCGTAGTCTAAAGCAGACGTCGCAAACGGGTTTTGATTCCCGACCCGTACCCTACCCGAAATGAGTGACAAACGGTGACTCACCAGTGACTCACGGTCTACCTGTACCCGTACGCGGCCGCACCAAGGTCGCAAACGGGTACCCGTACCTGGCCGGGTACGGGTAGCCGGGTATTGGGTAGGGTACGGGTATCGGGTACCCGGTTGCGACCTCTGGTCTAAAGCTCTTAGCCCTCTTCAAAAGTCTGCAACGCTCGCAAAATGGATTCCTGGACACGTGGCCACGCGCCTCTCATCTCCTTCCATGCCCCCCCCCCCCCCCACCCTCTTTCTCTCGGTCCCTCCACACAGTGGGGAGCCCCCCCGCCCCCCTCCACTCCACTATGGACGGTGGTTAGTTCTTAAATCTCTCCGTGGCCTTCTTACCCTCACCTCGCCTCTCTTCATCTCCTTCCATGTCCCCTCTCGTCCTCTTCGTTCCCAGTCTTCTCTCGCTGTCTGTCTCTCTCTGTCCCTCTCTCTCTGTCTGTCTCTCAGTCGCTCTCTGTGCTCAGGCGAAGATGGCGGTGTACAGAACGAGGAAAAAGATGCTGCAAGGTGACACTGACGGCTGCTCTGTGCTGCTTCCAGTGTTCAGAGGCCTGCTCAAGGCACGAATCCGGCTGGAGCACGCCATGTACCACACACATGCCGGTGATGTGAGGAGTGTCTTCTTCAAACGCTGGGGAGCCCGAAAAGCCCCTCTCTGCACCAGCGTGGACGGCACCCTCGTGGTGTTCACCTTCTGAAGCGCTCGCTCGTCACCGTGGCGTGCGCGATGACCACCACCGCCACGTGACTTTTCTTTCGTGTTGTGCGTGGCGCATTTAGCCCACAGTGCATGGATTTATAGTTTATTTGTTTTCTGGTGACTGTATATTTCGTATCGGAATCGCCTCCAGTGCTGTTGCTGCTTGCGGCAATAAAAGTTGCTTTAAAAGTCAAAAGTCCCTCTGTCTTTCTGTCTCAGTCTCTCTCTCTCTCTGTCCCTCTGCCTCTCTGTCTCTGTGTCTCCCTGTGCCCAGTCCCCGTGTTCGGTCCTCCCTCCTTGCACATCTCCACTGGAATCAACTTCCCCTGTATATTGAGCAACACTGCCCATAGGCGCAATGCTCACCATAGACTCAATACTGCCCACAGACTCAATACTGCACCAGACTCAACACCGCCCATAGACTCAACACCATTGCCCACTCAACACTGCACCGTAGACTCAACACTGCCCATAGACTCAACACCATTGCCCACTCAACACTGCACCGTAGACTCAACACTGCCCATAGACTCAACACTGCCCACAGACTCAATACTGCACCAGACTCAACACTGCCCATAGACTCAACACTGCCCACAGACTCAATACTGCACCAGACTCAACACTGCCCATAGACTCAACACCATTGCCCACTCAACACTGCACCGTAGACTCAACACTGCACCAAAGACTTAACACTGCACCATAGATTAACACTGCCCATAGACTCAACACTGCACCACAGACCTAACACTGCCCAAGTACATTAAGTACCCCTCCTTAACCTCCTTCCATTCCTCTCTTAAATCCTCACCTCTTCACCATCGTCGAATCCCTTCCGCGTGCCTCCCCTCGCCCCTCCACTCCTTCCCGTCCCTCCCGTCCCCTTTCGCGATCCCAAAGGACCCCTCTCTCGCCGTCACTCTTTCCCCAACCCTTGTAGCAATGCCCCCGTCAACTCCATCATTACACTCTGGCTCACCGCTTTGTAAGCCGTGTCAAGCGCCTCGGGTGAAGGGCGCTCTCTCTATAACACGTTCCTTCGGAGTGGGCAGGTAGGGACTTGGTTGGACAGCGCATTCGTGCACGACAGAAAGCTCGCGGTCACGTGACGCACTTCAACCAATCCGGGAGCGTACTACATGTTTGGGAGGGGCTATGCACGACAGACACATAATCCCTGGTGGGCAGTGTGGAACTGTTGTTCCTACTTGTATAAATACAACACTTAGATTGCGACAGACACGGTTGGTTAAGAAAAAACGCACACAAATAAAAGTCCACGTTCCACTGGATGTGTTTTAATACGATTATCCATACAGGAATAGTTAGTTGGTCATAGGACCTACAATTGACTTTGAGTAGGGTTACTCCTCCCAAAGGGGTTTCTTTGTTTGCGCAAAAGAAACGTCACAATGGCCTCGTCTCGTCCGAGCATGCGGGCGCGTTGGATTTCTAGACGTTTCACCGTTACGACAAACGCGGCATTCTACGCTGGCGACGCGCACCGTGACATGTCGCCGTGGTCACGCCCCTCGGGTTTTCCGCGACGGAACTGTGATTGCAGTTAGCATATTTGTTGCCTCGTGTTTTTTTTACACTTTTCAGAACTTAAAAAAAATGCTTCGCTCAGAAGTTCTTCAACAGCAGTTCGCCCGTCGCAAGCCCGACGGACCCACGGGAGTCTTCGTGCATCTTCGCAACTCGACGACCCCGGAGTCCGGTAATGCTTCTGACGCATGTGACGGGGTCGTAACTGTCACGTGACGGGGCACGCGGTCACGTCATGAGGACGTGACGAGGGCGTGACGGAAATGTGACTGTCACATGACGGGGCACGCTGACCACGTCATGAGGACGTGACGAGGTCGTGACTCTCACGTGACGGGGCCACGACGGTCACGTGACCGGGCCGCGAAAATCACATGACGGGGGCGCGAAGGTCACATGATGGGGCTGTGAGTCACGTGACGGGGCACACGGTCATCTACTCCGCCAAACATTCGGCAGAGCACCGATTCAATGGGCAAAAGGCAAAGGCACAGCCCTGCAATTGCTCGCTCACCCGCTCCAACAGCATGAGGAAGCCTTCATCCAGCAGTGGATGATGACGACGACGGTGATAGTTGTTTGATAATGCCAGCAATGTTGGCGACTGTCTCGTTAGGTTACGGTAAACCTTACGCTCCCTTAATGGCTTATGACCGCACAGTAACGTTACAACCTAGCATGCTTCTTTAATCCCACAGTTACAATAAACTACTCTGGTTTATAACCTAAAACAATCGAAAAGAAAGCGCCACAAGTCCATTCACGAACACAATCACCCTGCGTGTACGTTTGCAAGATAAATAAATAACGCCTCTTCTTTCCCCATGCGTTTCTCCACACGTACGAGCACAAAGTGAATATACATTGTTTTTTTTTTCGTTCACACATCCCGTCAGCCACACGGCCCTTCTGAGAGCGCATCTTGTCACCGGCAGCACACACTGCTGCTTCAGCACGAACCAAAACTCTGCACCAGTTTCGACATCCGTTGTCTCGTCAGCGGTCAGGCTCGCATCGGTACAATACATGCAAGGCTCTGGACCGCTTGCCACATTCATTGTTTCATCAGCGGTAAGATTCGCTTGAACCATCGGTACAATACGTGCAAGGCTCTGCACCAGTTTCCACATTCGTTCTTTCATCAGCGGTGAGGTTCGCTTGAACCATCGGTACAACACGTGCAAACTCCAGACCGGATTCGACATTCGTTGGTTTCATCAGCGGTCAGTTTCGCTCGCATTGGTTTAACGGAGCAGCAGAATCGGGCTCCTTTGCTCGAACCAAGCTTCGCTTGCGTTGAGAACCACCCAATGCTGCACACGGGGGTGGAGGTAGGGGCATGGGCGGGGGGCACGCGAGGGGGGGGGGGCGCTGGGGGCGGGGATGGAGTTCGGTTATCCGCTGCCCGAGCGCGACGATCGATTAGCGTTATGCAATCGCGCGTCAGCGATTACGCGGCTATGCGCTGGACGCGGCCGTGTTGCGAAAGCCACCGGCAGGCGTTCACAGCGCGACTACCACCGCGACTTTTATTTGACCCGCTGCAAGGCCCCCACCGAGCCACGGTGTGGCTATTTTCTCAAAAACGACCCTGGCTGTCACAAAGGTTAGCTCGACGAAGTGGCTTATCATCGTGTCGACATTTATACGCACGTTGATTCTGAATGTGGAGGGGAAAAACTAGACGGCCCGGAGAAAAAACACGCAGCAGGCGTCAGGAGGTTTGGGATCAAACCCAGGACCTCCTGTAGACCAGGCGAGGTAGTTAACATCTCCTAGCCACCGTGATGATGATGAGAGAGACACGCAAACTCTAAATAAACAGCAGCAGGCATCAATGTCGGTATCGAACCCACGACCTCCTGCATACCAGGCGAGCGAGTTAACCTCTCGTAGCCGCCGCTTTCGCGACAACCGAACGCAACCTTGGCGAGCACGTGACACCTGCCACAGGACAGGACCCTGCGCTGTCGTCGAGGTCAAGAGGTCGCCCAAATCAAGCACGAGAACAGAGAAGAGAGAATGCGCGCCGCAATAATGCTTCAGCGGACAGGGGCCCGCTGCTTTTGGTTGCGAGCACTGGAAGACGAACGCTCGAGAGCGACTCGTATAACAACAACAACGACAACAACAAACACCCGCAGTAAAATTCCTACAAAATGCGTCCCCACGCTCTTCGCCTACAATCGCACTCCCAACGGTGCCAACTCGTTGCTGGCCAGGCGGGGGGGGGGGGGGGGCAGCCCAACCCAGAGGCCCGTCGTCCTTTGCCCAGCGGTGCGCCACCGTGCCGCCCGGCCTAGTAGGACCTGGGCGGCTGCATGGGGGCGGCCACCGCCGGCGGGGGCGGCAAGGCCTTCATCTTGACGCAGTACGTCGCCAGTTCCTGCGAATCCGTGACGTGGGGGTGCATCGCCATCACGCGCTCCACCACGGGCTGCGGGAAGACTCCGCACAGGTTCCGGTAAACCTGCGCCCGCAGCTGCTCCGTGGCTCCATCGTCGCCACCGCCCACCGCGGCGTTCTGAAACGGCGCCGACTGAGCGTTGGGCGGGTAGTGTCGCGGCTGGTACCGCTGCTGCTGCTGCTGGTGGTGGTTGTGGTACGGCTGCTGCTGCTGCTGCTGGTGGTGGTGGTGGTGCGCCGGCGGGTGTGACGAGTGCTGCGGGTAGAGCGAGCGGTACGCCGCCGCCGCCGCCGGCTGGCCCAGCGGCCCGTGCCACGAGTTGGGCTGCGGCAGCGGCACGCTCGAGCCGCTGTCGTACAGGAAGCCGTCGGACATGAACGCACCTGGCGCCAGCTGCTGCTGCACCTGCTGCTGCTGCTTCTGAGCTGGGAAGTGGACGCAGCAGCTGCACGGAGCGCCGTACGGGAGATCGGGACGGTACGCGCCGCTGCCTCCCGGGAATGTCGCCGCGAGCTGCCCTTCTGCCGCAGCGGCCGGGTTGAACGGAGCTCCATGGCTGCCATGGTGAGCATGCTGATGAAGCTGCTGCTGCTGCTGATGATGATGCTGCTGATTAGGGTGAAGATGCTGTTGATGATTGGCGTGATGCTGTTGATGCGAAGGGTGCGGGGGAGGGTGATGCGGGGGCAGCTTCGAGGGGCCCTGCACGGCGTACGCGTCGTGCTGGTAGTACTGCGTCTGGCGGTACTGCCCCGGCGAGGGGTCGCTCGCGATGCCGGGGTCGGAGTAGCAGCCCGCGCCGTACACGACGCCTGCGCCGCCGCCGCCGGTGGGGGCGGACGGCAGCGTGGCGGCGCCATCCTGCGACGCTGCAGAGAGCTGGCGCAGCGAGTTGTACCCCGAGTCCTGCTGCGAGCACTCCTCGCCCCCCTCCGGCCAGTCGAGCGCTCCCCACACGCCCACCGCAGCCGCCGTGCCGGCCCTCGTCTGCTGCTGTAGCAGCTGCAGCTGGTGCTGCTGCTGCAGCTGCAGCTGCTGTTGCTGCTGCTGTTGCTGCTGCTGGTGGTGGTGGTGGTACCCGTGCGCCGGCTGATTCTGGAGCTGCGGGACGGCGAGCTGACTCGGCTGAAGCTGCTGCGCCTTCGACGGCGTCGTCGGCGGCGGCTGATGCTGCTGCTGCTGCTGGTGGTGGTGGGCGGGAAACGGCTTTCCCGGCGGCTTGCCGCTCTGATGCTGGACCTCGGCCTCCTTCCTGTGCGAGCGAGCGCCGGCACGCGACGGGCTGCCCGCCGGCGCCCCCCTGCCCTCCGACGTTGCTTCCGCCGCCCCCACCACCCCCACCACCCCCGCCGCCTCCTGCTGCTGCTGCTGCCCGGCAGCTGCCCTCAGCTCGTCGGCCACGGACAGTTGGATCTGGTTGGCGCGCTCCGGATGCGAGTACTTGCACTTGTTGCCGAAGGTGCACTTCTTGCCGTAGGGGCACGGCACGCGCTTGTTCTGCGTCGGCACCGGCACCTTGCGCAGGAAGTTCTCCAGAGTGGGGCCGTCACGGCCCAGCGGGTCGTCGGGCAGCATGAACCTGCGGAAGACGACAACGACGACGACGATGGTGTCACCATTGGAACCTCATTTGCCAGTAAAAAATATAATTGGTTTTTTACCCTTCTATCTGGCAACAAAACTGACACCTTTTTTACAAGGAGGCATGTTTGCATAGACCACAATACCTGCAATCATAATGCAAACAAAAAACAGAACTCTGATAATGTATGCACTGTCCTTTTTATTATTTTATTATTTCCCTTCTACGTGACTTTACCGAAAGAACCAAGAATATGAATCCCTGCAGTCACGAAAGCTTTAAATCCAAATACAACTTACTTTGTTTCATCAAACCCTTTGTATTTGTTGACATTGTACTTTTTTAATGATTGAGAACCAATGGCTGCAGTTAAGGTTAAGAAGAACCACTGCTCCCGACGCTCCCCACACACCACCTCGGTCTTCGCTGGGCCCTGCGTACCCCGCATCTCGCGCGCGTTATCGCGGGCGGTGCTTTACCCACCCTACGTTTACTAATCATTCATCGCAACGAGATCTTTCGCGTGACGCGGCGTTCTTCCAGGAACGCGACCGCTACCGCCGCGTTACAGGAGGACAGACTGTGCGAGTGCGTGCGAGTGCGTGCGGTGAGACCCACTTGTCGTTGACGAAGGAGTACATGAGCAGGCGCTCCTCCACGAAGCGTCGCCACTCGGCCTTCTCGCTCTGCAGGTCGCGGTAGTTGTCGTTGGAGACGATGACGCCGTCCGACTCGTGCGCCAGCCGCACGATGAAGCGGTCGTCGTAGCAGACGACGCGGCGGCCCTGCACGCGCCGCGACGGCGTGAACACGAGCACGCGGCGCCGCTCCAGCTCGCTCAGGATCTGCTGGTCTGCGGGAGACCGGGGGGAGGGAAACATGGTGAAGGATCAGCCCCCTCCGCACACCCCCCCCCCACTCCGCTCCGCAACGCTCAACTGGTGGGCAACGAACGTGTGAGTCTGTGGGTGGCAGTGTTGAGTCTATGGTGCAGTGTTGAGTCTATGGTGCAGTCTGTGGTGCAGTGTTGAGTCTATGGTGCAGTGCTGAGTCTATGGGTGGCAGTGGTGTTGAGTCTATGGGCAGTGTTGAGTCTATGGTGCAGTGTTGAGTCTATGGTGCAGTGTTGAGTCTATGGTGCAGTGTTGAGTCTATGGTGCAGTGTTGAGTCTATGGTGCAGTGTTGAGTCTATGGTGCAGTCTGTGGTGCAGTGTTGAGTCTATGGTGCAGTGCTGAGTCTATGGGTGGCAGTGGTGTTGAGTCTATGGGCAGTGTTGAGTCTATGGTGCAGTGTTGAGTCTATGGTGCAGTGTTGAGTCTATGGGCAGTGCTGAGTCTATGGGCAGTGCTGAGTCTATAGTGCAGTGTTGAGCCTACGGTGCATTGGGGAGGGGGCTGGGGGGGTGGGGGGGTGGGGGGCTGGGGGGGTGGGGGGTGGAGGGTGGGGGTCTCACCAGTGATGGGAGCGTCGGCTCGCGGCTGCTCCCGGCGCCAGGTCGGCACGAGCACCGTGACCTCCTTGTGGCCGCGCTGCAGGAACCAGCTCACCGCCAGCTCGATGCCCCGGCAGGAAAACACCTCCTTGTTGCCGTGGCTGAAGCCGGAACGCCAGGGTCGGGGACAAGGGTCGGGGACAAGGGTGGGGGGGGTGCATCGTCACGATTCGTCGTCGGAGCGCCGTCGTTAAAGCCGAGTAACGATCTGGCCAAAATTTGTGTTGTAAGACCCTCCGCCACCCGACGTGTTAACTACCTCGCCTGGTGTACAGGAGGTCGTGGGTTCGATCCCGACCCTGACGCCTGCTGCTGTATATTTGGAGTTTGCGTGTCTCTCTCTCATCATCATCATCACGGTGGCTAGGAGATGTTAACTACCTCGCCTGGTATACAGGAGGTCGTGGGTTCGATCCCAAACCTGACGCCTGCTGCTGTATATTTGGAGTTTCCGTGCCTCTCTCATCATCATCATCACGGTGGCTAGGAGATGTTAACTACCTCGCCTGGTATACAGGAGGTTGTGGGTTCGATCCCAAACCTGACGCCTGCTGTGTTTTTTCTCTGGGCCCTCTAGTTTTTCGCTCCACATTTAGAATCGACGTGCGTTTCGACTATTCAGCTGCCGCTAGAAATCTCCACGTGATAAGTCACATTGTTGAGCTATCATTTGTGATAACCACCTCGCTCTGAAAAAGGAGCTACATAGCTCAGTGGGCCTTAGCTGGTAAAATAAAATGAGTTTAGTTTAGACTGCACAAAAACCACGTGGAGCAGCAGCAGGCATCAGCGTTGGGATCGAACCCACGACCTCCTGTACACCAGGCGAGGTCGTTAACATCTCACCGATGAAGCCGAATCAGAAGGCCGCGCCCTGCCGGCTCTCACCTCATCGCCACGTTGCTGCCGTCGATGACGATGTGACGCAGGTTGGAGCTGTCGTCGGGGTCAAAGGGCGGCGCGGGGTCAGCGGGCGGCTCTGGGTCCCCGCCCCCACGCGCCACCAACACCCGCGGCAGCCGCTCCTGCCCTCCTGCAACACGGATAGCGAAGGGAGAGTTAGCGAGCATTCGAGAAAAAACGACAAACTTCAGCAGACCGGCCGCCCACGGTAAATAGTGCGGCGTGCAGGTTCAACCGTGGTGTGAGGTCCCCCCGCACGTCCGATGAGCACGGTTGACTACGCACGGTGCGTAGTCAACCGTGGTGTGAGGTCCCCCCGCACGTCCGATTAGCACGGTTGACTACGCACGGTGCGTAGTCAAGTTCAACAGACGCACATATGTATATACCGTCGCTACCTCATCATCACCACTTCATCATCACCACCGTGGCCATCGAGCCACTGGAGCTATGCACTTTTAAATCTAGATTGGGAAAACGAATTTCTTTGGCACTGCTTCGTGTGTTTAGTTTGTTGTCCTTCCCACGCAACTCCGACGGGCACGGTTGGCTACGTACGGCGCGGAAGAAGTTCAACGCACCCACACACACGTGGATTGACGATGCTGCTAATGATGATGATGGTGGTGGTGGATCGTGTACGCTCGCTGCGTGTCTCTCCCGGAATCTCCGATGGGCACGGTTGGCTACGTACGGCGCGAAAGAATTTCAACGGACGTACAAAGATCTGGGGACGGTCACTTGGAAGGGGAGTAGGAGGCCACACGTCTGTGCGATCGTTGTGTTTTTTTGCGTTGCGTTTACCGTGGTCGTAACTTGCCCGACCCCGCGCCCCCCTACACTGGACGTCGGCGAGAGAAGAGCTTCGCACCACCATCGGATTCTTCCAGTCCGCAAGCAAAAGATTCAATATCTCCAATTCCTGCTTTGGGCCACGGTCAAAATTCGCCAGGTTTGTGAAAAGTGACACCGCTCACTATTATTATTTTTGTTTAAAATCACTCGATTTGTATACATCTGAATGGCGACGTGGCGACAACCCCCCCCACCTCCACCGCCGCCCTCGACACTTGCATGCCGGTGCACAGGGGCAGCTGCCACTGGCCCCCCTCCCCGCCCCCACCTCTAGGCTCCACTGCGGCAGGGTGGTGGAACGGTTGGTGACGCAAAGCGCCGCGGTTTAAATGCTGCGGCATTCAAGCGAGCGCCACCGTGCCACGCCACGCCGTATCTGTGGGTCTCTGCGCAAGTCTATGGGTCTCTCCATGGGCCCACTGGTCTCCGAGTCCATGGCCCTCTACTTGAGTCTATGGGTCTCTGTGCAAGTCTATGGGCCTCTGTGCGGGTCCGTGGGCGTCGCTACGCGATGATAACGCAGAGACAGCTGCCATTGGAAGTGGGGAGGGGGTAGTGGGGGGTGGTGGGGGGGTGGTGGGGGGGGTCCCCTTTGCGCGAACGACCGAGACGACTGAACGTGGGTGCTCGTCATCATCATCCTCATCCTCCTCGTCAAAGTCACCTTCATCGTACGCCGACGCCGCCGCCGCTCCCCTCGCCTTGCCGGCGCCGCCGCCGGCCGCCCCCTCGGCCAGGGCCGCCGCCGGCGCGGCCGCTCCGTGCTTGAGCAGCTCCTCCAGCAGCGTGTTGTGCAGGGGGGCGCCCCCCAGCCGGCCGATGGCGTCGCGGATCTGCGACTCGGAGTAGCCGAGTTTGCGCGCAAAGTCCAGGCACAGCTGGTAGCTCGACTCGTCGCCCGGCTGCGCCGCGTCGCCCGCCTCCTCCTCCTCGCCCGCCGCCGCCGTCCTCCCGTTGCCGGCGGCGTCGGCGGCGGCGGCGTCGCGGTGATCTCCGGTCGCCGTGGCGGCAGAGTCCGGGGAGCACAGCGCCACGATGTAGTCCTGCGGAAGAGACGCGCCATTCGTTACCGTCCTGCCGGCTTCGGCCGTTGAACCGTCATCACTGCCGCCGTGATCATCATCATCGTCATCGGGGCTGCCATTGGCTCGTGGCTCGCCGATCGGCGCAGAGGTTCGCGGTTCGGAGCCCGGCAGGCCGCCCCGGTGAACGCTGCGGGGGCAGTCACTGTCAAGCGCGACGGAGCCGGTGGCTTCGCTCGCTGCGGACGTTGAAGCTCGCCATCCGTCCAGCCAGCAGCAGCAGCACCACCACTACAGGCAGCAGCAGCACCAGCAGCAGCACCACTACAGGCAGCAGCAGTACCAGCACCAACGCCACCACTACAGGCAGCAGCAGCAACAGCAGCAGTACCAGCAACAGCACCACCACTACAGGCAGCAGCAGCAGCAGTACCAGCACCACCACCACTAGCAGCAGCAGTACCAGCACCACCACTACAGGCAGCAGTAGCAGCAGCAGTACCAGCACCACCACCAGCAGCAGCACCACCACTACAGGCAGCAGCAGCAGCACCAGCAGCAGTACCAGCAGCACCACTACAGGCAGCAGCAGCAGCAGAATCACTTCCACCAGCGGTGGGGTAGGTGAGCGAGCGCGGGCGCTGCACCCTTCATACCTTTCACATCGAACGAGCCGGGGAGCAGCAGCAGCAGCAGCTACAACATCGCGATGCTTTTCATAACCATCGGAAAAACCCCTGGAGGTGACGACCTCCGTGAGCTTTGACGCACCCCGATGGTAATCCGTGCTGCGTGCACTGAAGCAGGTAAGTGCGTGTGTGTGTGTGTGTGGGCGTGTGTGTCTGTGTGTGTGTGTGGTGCGATAGTGTAGCAGTTAGCGCGCTGCGCTACGAACCCGGCGACACGGGTTCGATTCCCGCTCACGGCCAACATCAGTGGCAATTATCTGAACCGGTCCCGGGCCTCCCCTAGGTCGACTCAGCCTCAAATGAGTACCTGGTGTGGTGTGTAAACATCGCCACTGGGGAGACAAAGGCGGTCGGGCGTGGTGCTGGCCACCCACCCCCTCGTGCGCCGTACCGGCCTTCATAGGTGCTCGCTAACAGCACTTGCCCCTACAGTCTAAGGCTATATGGGGGATCTTTGTCTTTGTGTGTGGTGCTGGCCACCCACCCCCTCGGGTACCGTTCCGACCTTCATAGGCGCTCGCTAACAGCACTTGACCCGGCAGTCCGTTGAAGGCTACACGGGGGACCTTTGTCTTCGCGCGACGAGGTGACGTTGACGAATGACCACGTGGCCTCACGACCGGAAAGCACGGGCAGGAAATTTCCCGGGCGAACAAGTTTTGTCGAATTAAAAAATAAATTAATAAAGACCACACAACACACAAAGTTCACCCGTGTAGCCTTCACAGACTGTTGGGGCAAGTGCTGTTAGCCAGCACCTATGAAGGCCGGCACGGCACACGAGGGGGTGGGTGAGCATGACCTCGCCCGGCCGCCTTTGTCTCCCCAGTGGCGATGCTTATTATACACCGCACCAGGTACTCATTTCACCCCGAGTCAACTTAGAAGAGGACTAATTTATAGATAACGAGCTTTACTACCCGGCTTCGCCCGGATTCACGACGCCCGGCCGCCTTTGTCTCCCCAGTGGCGATGTTCACACACGACACTTGTTTGAGGCCGAGTCGACCTAGGGGAGGCCCAGGACCGGTTCAAATAATCGTCACCGGTGGTGGCCGTGAATCGAACTCGGGTCGCCGGGTTCGTAGCGCAGCGCGCTAACCACTACACCACCGCTCCCCCACCCACACAGACAGACACACGCAGACACGCAGACATACACAGACAGCGCGCTAACCACTACACCACCGCTCCCCACCCACACAGACACACAGACAGCGCGCTAACCACTACACCACCGCTCCCCCCCCACACACACACACGCGCTAACCACTCCACCACCGCCCCCCCCACACACGCGCTAACCACTACACCACCGCTCCCCCCACACACACACACAGGCGCTAACCACTACACCACCGCTCCCCCCACACACACACGCGCTAACCACGACACCACCACTCCCCCCCCCCCCCACACACACACAGGCGCTAACCACTACACCACCACTCCCCCCCACACACACACACACAGGCGCTAACCACTACACCACCGCTCCCCCCACACACACACACACGCGCTAACCACTACACCACCGCTCCCCCCCACACACACACGCGCTAACCACTACACCACCGCTCCCCCCCCCCCCCATACACACAGACACACACACACGCGCTAACCACTACACCACCGCTCCCCCCCACACACGCGCTAACCACTACACCACCGCTCCCCCCCACACACACACGCGCTAACCACTACACCACCGCTCTCCCCCCCCATACACACAGACACACACACACGCGCTAACCACTACACCACCGCTCCCCCCCACACACGCGCTAACCACTGCACCACCGCTCCTCTCCCCCCCACACACACGCGCTAACCACTACACCACCGCTCCCCCCCCCACACACACGCGCTAACCACTACACCACCACTCCCCCCCACACACACACGCGCTAACCACTATACCACCGCTCTCCCCCCCCATACACACAGACACACACACACGCGCTAACCACTACACCACCGCTCCCCCCACACACACACGCCCATAGGTACACGTACACGCGCTTGCTGCAGACACACAACTTCCAGGCTGCGTCCGGCAGTAAACGACTCAAATAGTAAAGCAGCAACGCTGCACGAAGAGCGCCGTAGAGCTGCAACACGTGTGTATGACGTCTGCAGGCACACTGTGTGACGCTTCCGCATGCGGGTCACATGACAGAGAGGTGACGTCACAGCTCACTTGCCGTGCAAAATAGATGCATTATTGAGCCCCCCCCCCCCACCCCCAAAAATATACAAAAGTCTATTTTTAAAATGTGTGCATGGTCTACAGTCTGGGAAGTACCCACCTGGCAAATTTCAAGTTTGTTGCATGTCGGGAAGTAGACTAAACATTTTGAACAGACACACAATCACAAATTTCCCTTTTATACACGTAAATAATAGATCACGACGTTTCGATCGCAACGCAAGCAATGGTCATCAGGCAGAAGACAGGAGAGAATCTGCTGATGCAGGCTGCTTCTAAAGGTTAGAGATGAGCGTAGTCCCAGAGTGATAAACTAAGTGGGGGGGGGGGGGGGGGCTAGTGATGTAAAGTGAGAAATTTGCATGTCAATGTACATTCCTCGATGTGATGGCACGCTATGAGCTAACATTGACATGCTAATCACATTTCGATTTAAAGCTTTCGTGACTGCAGGGATTCATCTTCTTGGTTCTTTCGGTAAAGTCACGTAGAATGACAGACCTGCTCTCCACCTGAGGACGGCTGCTTGCGTTGTGGCCGAAACGTCGTGAGAATTATTTTATTATGTTTTATTTTTATTATTTCCATTCTACGTGACTTTACCGAAAGAGGTCAATAAAATGCTATTCACATTTACACAGTACACTTACACAGTACATTTACACAGTACATTGACATGCTAATCACATTTACACAGTACATTTACTTGCAAACTTCTCACTTTAACTTCACTAGCCCCCCCCCCCCCAACTCGCTCATCTCTAACCTTTAAAAGCAGCCTGCATCAGCAGCTTCTTTCCTCTGTCTTCCGCCTGATGACCATTGCTTGCGTTGCGATCGAAACGTCGTGATCTATTATCTTTCTACCTACGTGACTTTACCGAAAGAACCAAAGAGTATGGATTCGTGCAGTCACGAAAGCTTCAAATGAAGATTGAATTTATAATTAGTTCCATACTCGTATAGAGACCCAGAGACTCACAGAGACACAGACTCACACAGTGACCCAGAGACTCACAGAGACCCACAGACTCACACAGTGACCCAGAGACTGACAGAGACCCACAGACTCACACAGTGACCCAGAGACTCACAGACTCACACAGTGACTCAAAGACATACAGAGGCTCACAGAGAGCCACAGACTCACACAGTGACCCAGAGACTCAGAGAGCCACAAGACTCACACAGTGACTGAGAGACACACAGAGGCTCACAGAGAGCCACAGACTCACACGGTGACCCAGAGACACATAGAACCTCACAGAGACCCACAGACCCACACAGTGACCTAAAGACTCACAGAGACACACAGACTCACACAGTGACCCAGATACTCACAGAGACTCACAGACTCACACAGTGACCCAGAGACTCACAGAGACTCACAGACTCACACAGTGACCCAGAGACTCACAGAGACTCACAGACTCACACAGTGACCCAGAGACTCACAGAGAGCCACAGACTCACACAGTGACTGAGAGACTCACAAAGACTCACACAGTGACCTAGAAAGCCACAGAGACTCACAGAGACTCACAGACTCACACAGTGACCCAGAGCCTCACAGAGACTCATAGAGACTCACAGACTCACACAGTGACCCAGATACTCACAGAGACTCACAGACTCACACAGTGACCCAGAGACTCACAGAGACTCACAGACTCACACAGTGACCCAGAGACTCACAGAGAGCCACAGACTCACACAGTGACTGAGAGACTCACAAAGACTCACACAGTGACCTAGAGAGCCACAGAGACTCACAGAGACTCACAGACTCACACAGTGACCCAGAGCCTCACATAGACTCATAGAGCCTCACAGACTCACACAGTGACCCAGATACTCAGAGACTCACAGACTCACACAGTGACCCAGAGACTCACACAGTGACTGAGAGACACGTAGAGAGGCTCAGAGGCTCACGGAGAGCCTCTCTAAGTGTCTCTGTAGTGACCCAGGAAGCGGAGAGAGACCACCACCCCCCGTTGCCTTTGTGGTGCATGTATCGACGAGCCCCCCCCCCATCCCCCCACCACCACCCCCCCCCCCCCCACCTTGCACCGCCGCGAGTGTTATCAGCTGAGAATTCGGGGCGGGGAGGGGGGTTCACA